GTTCTAGTTTCTACACATTTTTTATTATATATATCGGTATATACAAATCACCCTCACACAACAATAAGTTACCCCTCTTGACCAATACAGGTCAATACATCCCCCTTCTGCCTCTTCCAAACTACCTCTTTTCTTGGCTTGTTTTGTTTTCTAAATATAAATCTTTGTCTTTACCATTTTTTTATCAATATATTTCAACTCACTCTTCAAGGTTGAGAGTTTAGTTGTGATGGATTCATTTTTTTTCTACGCCAGTGGCATTTCACAAGAGAAGTTACGAGAGATTAAATGTTTTTTTAGTGGATGTGCCGGGTATTGAACCCGTCCCTCCCGCACAGAAGTCAGAGACGCTAACCACTAGGCTAGCAACACAACCACGAAAGCGAACAGTGTACAGATATGTATCGGTGTGTTAGATCGAAAGCTTTAAGGTCAGGAAAATATACCAAATATAAGATAAATCAGCGCACCCAAGTTAACCAGAGCGAAACATACCTGACAATTTTCTTTAGCGAATCCACAAAGAAGACAATTTTCTTAGAGGTTGGCGGCCTCTTTTAACCTTGCATTTGCTCGTCCATATAGACTAACTGCCCGTGCGTGGAACGTATTCAGCCAAGGATATGTCAATCAATGTATCAATGCATATCCACTAGTGTGACGTCACGAATCCTGCAGCATGGTCTGTTTTTATAGTGGGACCTTGCCAGGATCCGAACCCACCACATCGCTGCCTTGGGTCCTTTGTCCGTGACGCTATACCGACTCACCTAGTCCCTTTAAATATGAAAGATATTGTATAAGATGTGTGATATATTTATATATTATTAGGTACCGGGGGGGACCAAGCCGTGGCTCGGTATAGTTTATTTCGATTGTAAAAGAAATAAATAAGAAACTCGCGTTTTATTTACAACTAATTTTAGCTTTTTTATTTAAGTTTCAGTAGAATTACGATTTATTATGATGGAAATTTTCTTGGAGATGTCAAAATTGTGTAAATTATATGTACAGTCACAATGTGTTAGCTTATAAGTTATTACTTCTAGTTAGTTTCCTTTATTTTTGGACTACCGAACATTTCGGGTGGTGGCGAGCCCATAATCTTCTTAGGTTGTTATATTCAACTACCACTCCCAACATTTCATAATTAGTTCCATCATTTTTACGTGGTATAGTTTTGTAGAATCAGAGTCAACATTGTTTGTACAACATCAACATATACCGTATATCAGTAAACTCACCAAAAGGCACAACTTGAACAAGTCAAATCTTGAGTAAAAGTTGAACCTCACAAATCGTACAATGCTTGATTCATGGAAGGTTGGCTTCTCTGAATATGCTTCCTGTGTTGAACAATTATATCGAAGTCAAGAGTGTGAGTCTATTCAGTGAAACTGTCCAAGTGTGTGTATTCGAGTAGGCTGCCATTTTGTCAAAGGATTTTGAACGTCTGACTTGGTAAAACGTAGAAATGTATATAAAATTATAGAAACTTAGAAATCATTTGATCAAAAATATGGGAGTGAGTTGGCTTAAAATACCTACTTTGTATGGTCGCAATTTCATAGAACAGTATTAACAGTACCAACAGTATTATCATGGAAAAATGCGTATTAAATTCTCAAAAAAGGTAGATTAAGTTTGAAGTTTTGAATTGAGAATACCTCAAACATTATATCATTGTTCTTCGTAACCAGTATAAAGTACACCAAAATACAACACAAAGCTCGTTGACTAACACCTCTAAGTCACGATGTAGTTTTTCACCTTCTAATTAAAATCTCTGTCCGACTCTTCATCAAATTGTAACTGCTCTTTGTCACGAATCGTTGAAATTCTGAGTTATGCTACTACAGATTAACACCTTTGCAAATGTAACAAGCTATATCAAATGAATACAAAGTCCTCCAAAGTATGAACGTATTGGTTTCATGGAAGTTTGGATGGTATTATGTAAAACGTGAAACACAATGTGTGCACATAATGAAAAATTTTATTATTACGTATAATTTTTTTATATATATCATCGAATTCGGAATTACCTACTATACCAGGTCCCATTGGAAACCTAGTAGACCCGGGCCCAATTTGTGTGAGGGTCAGTTTACTGGATGTGCCGGGGATTGAACCCGTCCCTCCCGTACCGAAGTCCGAGACGCTAACCACTAGGCCAGCAACACAACCCCTTAATTTAATCTTGATTAAATTAGGTAAACCTACAGACGTGAGCACTCACCTCACGTGCGTATTAGAAAGGGTTCATGAGCTAGCATTATCCGGACTGTGGCAAAAAGGGTTATTTTTATGGGGTCAAAATGAGGTTTTCTAATAGTAAGCTGTTGATTTATAAATTAGTAACACACTACTGTTATGTCTTGGTTCAACAACGTTTGACTTTCTTATCTAGTTTAATCTATACTTATTTAATAACTAATAAATATCAAACACGAAGTTATTATAAAATGTGCTGTGTGTACCTGTTCCGGCAACCGGTAATCTAAATATTGTAAGGAGAAAAACATTTCCATAGCAATTCTTAAGAAACATTTCGAAATTATTATCATTATTTTGGTATCTTTTCAATAAAATTATATTCTGGATGAGCGTTTCGTAATGCTCTGGAAGAAATATTTCGAAATTATTATAATTATTTTGGTATCTTTGTCATAAAGTTATATTCTGGGATGAGCGTTTCGTAAAGCTCTGGAAGAAACATTTAAATGTGTTACAGAAACATATAACTTAATATTTAATCAAACTTATCTTTAAATGAATCGTTTTAAGTAATGAGTTTCCGATTCCAATGATTCATCAAGAACTGTTGAAATATGATTTGTGTGAATAGTTCATTTTGGTATCACATGTGTTCTATGTATAAGTTAGTTGTCATGGATACCAGATGTGTTTTGTGGAAAGCTATGTTGTGGTTTTGTATTGAGTAAAACTTGTACCTAAAACACCTTTCTCTTTATCATTCTACATAATTTAAGTCCATTTACAACAAGAACTAACTTTGATCCTTGCAAACAAAGAATAATTCGTTTTTAGCGAATTTCCCATATATGGAATAAGCTCTCTAAGACAAGTAAAGTAATAATATTTGATTATTTTGTCTATGCTATTTTCATAGATTAAACATACTTTGTTAGTCTATACACATCACCGTTGGGTTTTACGGTAGGATCTAGAACAAGACCTGTTTGTTTTTTTTTTCTTTTCGGTGCCCCCAGAGGCCAAAAACACCATATCCATTCAAATTCATATAATATACACAAACATCTAACGATGTTTAAACCTCAGGCTCCTCTGAGACCGTGAGGCCTCCTCACCGGTTACTTTGGGTGATGTAGCTCAGTAATTAAACTCAGCACTCACTTACAAAAAACCAACTTGATTACAACAAGGGGCCCAGCTTTCCCATCAGGGTCTCGACTTCCAGTACGAGTACACCACAATACTTCTCGGTTTTATAGGGAATTTAATGGGGTAAAAAGTTTTGTTTTTTCAATTTTTTTTACCCCTAAAACATAAAATTATACATTCCCTTCAAACACTTTTTGCAGAGCTTAAAAAAACAATAATTTAGAACACTATTAGATATGTTGGCATTATTGTAGTCTAAAGTTTACAGGAAAAAAAATTTTAATTTAAAAATTACAATAATATTCTTGGAGGATATAAATAATAATCTGTTGTACTTTGCATATTTATATGTATATATTTTTATAAACCTCCAAATTAATTATTCCATACCTACTCAATTTGATTAAAACACTCTCTATTACCTTCCCTAAACGCAGAAAACAGAAGTAATCATACAACTTAAGGTTATTTAAAACGCTAAATAAATCTGACAAGTAAATATTTTAGTGTAATCGAAATAGGCCATGGTGGAATACAGGCACTTTATCAACGTCCGTTACACAGTCCCAAAGTTACTGTATAGTTTGCAGTGCCTTGTCTTGGTGTGATTGGATCTTACTTTTTTGAGGATGAAGATGGTTCCACTGTAACTGTCACATCTCAACGTTACATTCATATATGCAGGAGACATTTTTTGTTCAACGGCTTCTTGCTTTTCCAGATATTGAAATTCAGCAAACCTGGTTTGAACAAGACGGAGCCACCTCACACACTGCCAATCTGTCAATGGCTGCATGAAGCGACGTTTGTTTGGGGAGCGCATCATTTCAAGGAACGCTAACGTCGTTTGACCCCACGGTCGCCAGACCTCTCAGTGTGTGACTTCTTTTTATGGGGACATCTAAAGAGCGTTATTGTGTACCTGACTAAGCCAAGAAATCCTATTGAGCTCAAGATTCAGATCGAAGAACACGTCGCCAACATACCAGACACATTGCGTCGCACAAGCCTTCAAAATCGAATGAATAACGAATAGGCCCAAAAGACAGCACTTATAACCAACACGAATTGTGGATATTTATAGGCATGCGCTGTGGATGCGATACTCCCTGGTGTGGATTAACGTCCGCACGAGTGAGTACTACGACTATCCTCAGTACTATATCCTGATAATTAGACCAACCAATGTAAAAATGTGGTTCGAATTCCACTATAAACTGTAGGTCCCTTTGCCATTAGCTCTATGGGCTCTTAATTAACAGCTGTGTCTAAGGAATGAGGAATGTCGGCCTTAGTTACTAACAAGACTACAAGATCGCGCCACTCATCCTACACTCTTCTCCATTCTAATACTTGGCTTAAAATACAGACTTTGTATGGTTGCCATTTACTGTAATAAGAAAGTATTAAAGTAAAGTATGTATTAAAGTATTAACTGATGTGATTTTTAACTTTATTCATATTTCCAACATTTCTTATGTATTTTCCACACTTGACCAAGCCACCGTATTAATTATAGTATAGTTTAGTGGGTTTTGGTTTTTTACTACTGTTTTTGTTTGGAAAGTTGGTGGTATTGTCTGTCAGACTGTCACTGCCATTGTCAAATGTCCGGATTCCGGAAAAGAAGTTTGAGTTATAAAGCGAACAGGTTGTTTATTTTAGGTTAAAATTTAGATAAAATTAACTTTTTACAAAGTCCTACTTTTCTTTGGTAGCTAAGTCCACATAGGCTGCCGGTACTGTACTAAGAAAGATCAAGTTTTATACCTTTTGACGATATTTCTGTCAGTGTCATAGTGTTATAACATTGGTAACCACTTCGGTCTATTTTTAAAGGTAGGTAGGGCTAGGTATTTTGACTAGACCTATTTATATACATCTGTCTTATATACATAACTTTCTTGATTATTATAAGGAATGCAGCTTTAAGTTAATTAGCTTCAAGTTCACAAGCTGTATGCCAAAATCTAAGAACTAAGACTCCTTAAGTACAAGTAAGATTTTAAAACAGAGGCCTAGGCCTAGTTGTTACCAGACTAAAACACTTTTGGCTTGAAAAGCCAACATATGCATACCAGTTTTTGTAGGCTAATCATGTTCCTTGAAATTATTGTTTTTTTTTTTTAAGATTGATGACTTCTTTGTCAAAGTTAATAGGCTATTAGCCTATATTTTAAAAGACTTAAGGTCTTTTCTTTTGGGACATTTTTCTGAAAGGAGATTAGACTATCCTAACTTACTAGCGGCTTGTGAACAGTTCTACGGTATAGCCTACTTAGAGAAAATTGCAACCAGTGACATAACTTAGGCTATATTGTGTCCAATTAGGCCTAAGTTATCGTTGGCTTCACTTTTCAAGATGAAATAACTTAGCCGCTCACAATTGTCTGGATGGCAAAGTAGGCTAGTTAAGTTAAAGTAGGGTAATCACCTTCAAATCTGCAGGTCGTTGATTTGATTCCACGCACGATCGTTGCTGGACTCAGATGCAATTTCCATTGGGCTATCGATTATTTATGCTAGGTAGGCCTACCTATCAATCAAAGAGGGTCTGAGATGTTAGATAGTTAAAAGCCTAGGTGTAGACCGTGAAAGTGCTAGATTTGGATATTGAATTAAGTTCTAGGCCTATGTTATCAAACTGGAAAATGTTGAATGCTTTACTGAATAAACTCAATTTTTATGTGTCTACTCTTACAGGTAAGGCTACAGTTTACTTATTTCAGGGTGAATCCGAAAATACAATTAACTTATCCTATTTAACTTGCGGTAACTTAAATTAAGTTAGTTTTTGTCGGAAAGAGTCCTAACTCAAGTGTCCGAAAAACAAAATCAAAGACGAAGAATTTAAGGTCCATTGAGCAGTTTGAATGGTATTAAATTATGGCTGTTTGGACGAATTTGTACGTGGAGAGCGAAGAGCTGTTCATTTGCATTTTAAATTAAATCGATTCATTCAGAACAAATTGTTTGCTGACTAAGTAAGTTTAATAATTTCTTATTTAAGCATGTTTAAGGAAGTTAGGCCAGGTTTTAAGGGTATTAGTTACTGTATTTTAAAAGTGTTTTGAAATTAGGTTAGATGTAGGCCTAGATGATTAAGTTAGGAAGGTAAAGTTTAGGTTAGGTTAATTGATTAGGTAATTAATTTATTTTAATAGTCCTGTAATGATGATAACTGCTGTTTTATCTACAGCATTATGATGGGAATAATTTATTTGTTAAGTTAAATAAATAAATGTAAAATGTACACTCTTTGTTTGCCAATATAGCCTAGTCTACTTAAACATGGCTGGACCATCATCCAGTAATCAAGTTGCTATTGCTCAGAAAACATGGGAAATGGCAAACAACATTGAGACAATCAGCTCCATCGATGAAATATATCGATATGACAAAAAGCAGCAACAGGATATTTTGACGGCTAAGCCATGGGAAAAAGAGTAAGTATGTAAGTTAATGTAAGACTGTTTGAATTTTATACTAAAGCTAGCCCTACAAAAGTTTAAATGCTGATTACATAGAGTATAGTTAACTCGCCATTGATAGCTTTGCTAGATTGGCTAATAGAATATGTTTTTGAAGTTAGCCTACAAACTTAATTTAGTTGTTGATAATAAATTGTTTGGAATTTTTTTCTTAGTCTACCTCAGTAAAGCCTACCTACTAAGCATAGAGTTTGAAAGGTTGGTACCTTTTATCCCTTAAAAAAAATTAATTTTGATTCTTCCATATAAAATTCCACAGATGTGTAACTTAGGCCTATGTCTAGTTACGACTTACAACTTGTTACTTAAAGGCAATGCTTAACTGCTAGGCCTACATCATACTTTAATCTGAAATGACGACCATACAAAGGTAGGTATTTTAAGCCAAGTATGAATGGAGACGAGTGTAGGATGAGTGGCGCGATCTTGTAGTCTTGTTACTGACTAAGGACGACATGTTCCTTAGATAAAACTGTTAATTAATAGCCCATACAGCTAACGGCAACAAAGAGACCTACAGTTTATAGTGGAATCCGAACAACATTTTTTCCTTTTATTTTACGAATTGGTCTAATTATTAGAACAGTTAGTTACTGCGGATAGTTATAGTACTCACTTGTGCGGACGTTAATCCACACCAGGTAGTATCGCATCCACAGTCATGCCTAAGTTATTTAAATATCCACAATTTGTGACCACCAAGTACTTAGCTGGATTATAGGACGACACCACGGTCCCAGTCTTAATTTAGTAAAGACTGTTTTCTCACCAGATTTCATACTAGCTACACTAGCTACAGTATTGCCTACAGCTTTGATAATGGTAAATTATTTAGGCTGATTGATTTTTTTAATGCTAGATTGTTTTAAAACTGGCCCTTTCAAGATGAAACTTATTATTTTCACAGTCCCCATTTCTTCAAAGACATCAAGATATCCGCCTTGGCTCTCCTCAAGATGGTGATGCACGCAAGATCTGGAGGAACTTTGGAGGTTTGTATATTATTACAGTAGGTCAACCAGTTCATACAAAAAACATTAGTCAAGGTAGGCTATCCTAATATACCTTATACTATGCATCCATCATTGAACAGTAATGACTGGGTAGATTTCGCCAAAAGAAAAAATTTAATTTTAATACTTTATATATTTATGCGGTTAACATGGCTGTAGTTATGAGGTCCATTCACTGTTTTCCTCTTTGAAGTATTCCTTCATGGAGTACAGGGGCCGCGCCTTGAGTAGCTCCTCTACTATCTTTTTAAAATTGTTAAGAGGGAGTGACTTTATGTCCTGGTGCAGGTAGTTGTAGAGTCTGATGCCAAGGACAGGATAGCAGTCTTTTTGCTTGTTCAGCCTGCAGAAAGGAAGGTTTAGATTTTCTCCTTTTCTCACATTATAGCTATGTTGTTGGTTTCTGCAGCTGAGGTTGTCTATATTTTCCTTGATCTGCACCAGACAGTTATAGATGAATTAATTGGTTGTAAACAGTCATTACTCCTAAGGCACGGAAAAGTGGTCTACAGTGTTCGTGTCTTTCGCTGGACGTTATGGCCCTTATAGCAGCCTTTTGAACTGTCAGAATGCTCTTTGTCTTTAATGCCTAACAATAGTTATGTAATTTATACTTAGCCTACATTTGATTTGTCCAATTACCTAATTTATTTCATATAGGCCTAGGCCTGATAATGACATGACCAATTGTCTAATTCAACATCAAATTGAGATTTAGGCTAATAAGTTTCTGACAGGCATCTTTGTCAACAAACACATATTGACACTCAACAGTATAATTTAAAACATCTTTGTAAATTTTCAGTGTAGCTGGTCTAGATTTTACCGACGCAAGTTACTCTGACACAAGGCAATAAAAGATAAGGTTTGAGTGTTCAATTTTACTAAACAATTCGCTAAATTAAATTAACCCTTTGAGTGCCAACGTCCGGGGAACCGGACGTTTTTAAAACGAGCCAAAAGTGCCAACGTCCGGCCGACCGGACGTTTTTAGAACGAGCCAAAAGTGCCAACGTCCGGCTGACCGGACGTTTCGTAATGATCGAACAGCTGTCATAACAACCGAATAAATACTCGGATTCTTTTAACCCATATATTAACATTGAGTCGAAAGTTGCTAGATGCGATACATCGATTTTCGTTGGTCGAAATATCGAAAATTCGATTTTTACGAAATTTTAACCTAAAAATCGCCAGATCGCGCTCGGCATTTTTAGCGCGACCTTCGGGAAAAATCATCGGCATTTTTTGAGCGTTACTTTTATTTCTCGCCTGGCACTCTAAGGGTTAAATAAGTTCCTGTAATTATTTTTAAAATTATTATAGATTAAGGGAAGTATTGACACTACAGTATTTTAATAAATCAAATGAACGAATATAAGTTTGCACCTAAATTAAAACCAATTTACAATGATTGACTTTACTCGGTTACCAGGTGATGGGACTACTTCTAGGCAAAGTTGACGCTAACACAATGTTAGTCATGGACAGCTTTGCACTCCCTGTCGAAGGAACTGAAACAAGAGTGAACGCTCAGGCTCAGGCGTACGAGTACATGACAGCGTACATAGAGGCAGCTAAACAGGTAAGCCAACATCATATTGTTTAAAAACTTTGCCTTTAATATGAAATATATTCATTACGTATCAAGGGTTTTAGAGATGGTCCAATTATGGACTAAGAGTTTAGTGGGTAGAGCTCATATCTGACCATTACGGGACTGGGGTACGGTCGAAAGGTCGGATAACGGGAGAAGCATATCTTGCAGGATTGGCGATAGGCTACTGGTAATTGCCTCCTGCGATCACAGCAACACCCATGAACATGGTCTCTGCAACATAAGTTATCGTCTCCCGCGATCACGGCAAAACCCACAATCGGCAGTTTGGTTAATCAAACTCGCTCTGTGCTATCTGGATATTGAAGTCGGTAATGCCGAGGTCGGATAATGTATACTAAAGTCTTCTTGATTTTTAGTTCATATGTTCTGATCTTACAGCTATTGCAGTAGGGCCTACTTCTTGCGGGTCACTTTTGTTAAAGGTAGAATTTAAGGCTTATCAACAACTCTTTATCAGTAAACTACTATTGCGAGATGCAACTATTACTAACCGCACGGCTCAGACCAAGATCCTGGAGTGAATCCGCCAATCATTAATAGCTTTTAACATAATACTGTATTTATACTTAAAACAATTCTCTCAAGAGACGAGATCAGCATGTTCCTGCAAAAAACACACAATAATTACTAGTCCTTAATGTTTACACTGCAGGTTGGGAGACAAGAAAATGCTATCGGCTGGTACCACAGTCACCCCGGATATGGCTGTTGGTTGTCAGGGATAGACGTCTCCACCCAAATGCTCAACCAGAACTTCCAGGAACCCTTCGTGGCCATCGTCATTGACCCTGTCAGAACCATCTCTGCTGGCAAAGTGTGTCTCGGAGCTTTCCGCACTTATCCGAAGGTTAGTATACTACACATTTAATCTGCCTACTGCTAAGTATTTGGATTTTTCTTTGAGGAAATTTAAATGTTTCATTGTTAAAATTGAATTTAAAATAGTATAAATATATTTATAAAATTTGAGCAATTTTATTCTGGTTAGGTAACATGATTAGCCTATAATTCTGAAGTATTCCTAAGTCACTAAAAGATAACAGGCCTTCTTTTCATTTTATTCAAATTGTAAATCTTTTTTCAAGGAATAATTTTTACCAGATCTTGACCAAAATTAAGAGTCGACAGGACCGCCGGCCATCTTGGATTTTCTGTTCATAAACGGCAATGTTAATGGTTGAAGCAAATTATGGCATTGTTTTTTAAGATAAAAAGTTGCAAAATATCTAATTTTTTAAGCTATTGAAACTGTGGATGTGATTTGCTATCTACTTTTCAATTTAATTATTATTTTCTGAAACATAAATATATTGACTTAAACTGTGATTTTTTCATCCTCTAAAACAGGTTTTAAAAGTCCGAAAAGCAACTCGCACGGAAAATATATTTAAGAACCACATATCATTTTCTGCTCAGAAATTAAGCTTACAGCGTACGATTATTATGTTTCAACCTGAAAGCATTTTTTTGTTGATCAGTGCTCGGACAACCACTGTTTCGCCTGGCATCTGACGGTCAACGGCAATGCAAAATTAACGACTCCTGCCGACTCTTAATACAAAATAAACTACTATACTCTATTCTTAACTCGTATATTAGCCTACACTAAATTTCTTCATTCAAGGGATACAAGCCAGCCAATGAGGAGCCTTCCGAGTACCAGACGATTCCTCTCAATAAGATAGAGGACTTTGGAGTTCACTGTAAACAGTACTACAGTCTAGAGGTAATCTCATGTACATGTAAAATAGCAAATATGAGTGTATATGGTTTTCGCTTTCGTAATTGGGCTGACACTTGTTTTTGCCCTTTTATCTTATGTACAGATGTAGCTCTGTCCTCATTTATTGCTAAGAATAGTTCTGTAGCTGATCAGTTTTGCAAATATAATGTGCATACTTGGGAATAACAAATAGAAATTCTAACAAATAGCGATATTCGTTAGTTTTTTCGGCTAACTTCTATTTTATTCGTTAGTTTTTAAAAGTGCTGGAAATAACTTTTACTCAGTTAGATTTATAAGTAAAGAATAGAAAATAATGAAAATATAATCGTTAGTTTTAAATCGTTAGATTTTTGGTCAGGCGGAAGTATCTATTATACAATGATATAGGCCTACGGGTAATTTATTTTACGTGATCAGTGAGGGTTGTGGGCGGCCGTGAGAGGTCAGCGCCCTTGTTGATAAACAATGCAGGGTGTGGGGAAAGAGGAAGTCAAAGTTCAGTTGCTTTGGTATGCAGTGGGCCCGTGAAAGGGCAGTGACGGCAAGCATCGAGGGGTAGGAAGGGGGAATATTTGTTTGGTGATTGATATGTAATCTTAGATGCCAAAACATTGTCTTCAGTTCATGTTCATTATATGACAGTGACAAGTTTTAAGTAATTTGTTTCTGTTGTAGTATTAAATAAACTAACTAACTAATAACTTCTTTACTAGTTAGAAATTTTGTCTAACTTTCCCAACATTGATGTTAATGTGTTGTTTCAAAACTTGGCAATGCATTTTTTTAAGGAAGGGACAGATTTTGTTATCTAAATAGATATAGCCAACAATGTATTCACAAAATTACATTTCTACCAAACAATAGTTTTTAAATTCAACCCATTGCTGTATCTAAATTCTACACATTCATTGCTACACAGGCTCTTAGTGTTGTTAATGTCCATGTAGGTTTCATACTTCAAATCCTCCTTGGATCGAAGGTTGTTGGATTCTCTGTGGAACAAGTACTGGGTGAACACACTGAGCAGCTCCTCTCTGCTGACCAACGCTGACTACACGACAGGCCAGATATTTGACCTCAGTGATAAACTGGAGCAGTCCGAGGTATGTTGTAGACGTAAATGTAATCACACTGACACTTCCTCACTACTAGGCGTTATAACAAATTTAATCTTTTATAAGAGACATTTGCTATGCCAATTCACAGTTCTACAACTAATTCTCACACTAAGTTAGGCCAAGAGGGTCTCACCCGTCGGCTGTTTACCACGTAAACATGGTCCTACAAAAAATAATCTCCTTGCATTATTAAAGTGTTTATCGAGTTGAAATAGACTGTAAAATATTCACAAAGATCCAAACTATGCATTGGCTGAACTGAAACTTCGTAATTGTTTCTTTAAGTATTTACAAAATCATTTTGAAAACCGTAAATTAGTCTTTTCACCTGCAATTTTAACTTCTAAATAGTTAAAAATTATTTTTGCTCCACCCACTGCAAGCTCTGATATGTTAAGAGCACAACAAGCACACAATCTGATAACAAATTGGTTTTAGAATGTTGAGAGCTTGTACCGTAGAGGCATGTTCAGGAGAATTAGCATATTTAGCCGCCATCTTGAATTAACCGGTTAGAACCCTCTTAATAGTGTAGAGTACCTATGTACAGTAGTCGCAGTTAGTCTGTGCGCGCGGACCCTTGTGTACTAGTTGTGCTGAGGTGAACGGCTCGTTCACCGCCACAGCCTCGCTGAACAACCCCAGAGAGCCGTGTGGGCCAGATTTGTTTGGAAATGAGCAATAAACACACCCCTCTACACCCCCCGCTGGCCGCCCTAGGGCGGCCAGACTAGCTGCGACTACTGTAATCATTCCTGCTTGCTAAACCAGCTGATTTTACTGTTGCGTTTCTAAAACACCAACATCCAATAAGCAATATAACCTAAAAAAGGCAAACAACCTAAATTACATGTTACATAAAACTAATAAGTAATCTGCATGTCATTATAAGTTAATTATGGCGGTAGGAAAGATCTATGGTGATAGAAAAAAAGCAGTCATAGCTACTCTCGAAATGTATGACTGTTCTTAATTAGGCCTACTTAGCACTCTTAAACAAAAATTGATATTTATGGCTTAATTTCAGAGATTTTCTTTCATTTACATGCCATTCTACATAACTAGACCAAGTTTCATGAACTGCCCTGTTAATAATTAGGCCTACACTAATGCTTGTTGTCTAGGCGGCGCTGGGCCGGGGAGGTCTGATCGGAGGGCTGGGTGGTGGTACCGAGGTGGACAAACGGACGGAGGACAAACTACTTAAGGCTACCAAGGACAGCTGCAAGACAACCATCGAGATCATTCACGGCCTCATGGCTCAGATGATCAAAGATCGGCTCTTTAACCAAATCAAAGCCAACAAGATTGATGTGTAAATAATCTTACGATGTGCTGTGTTCTTCTTATGTATTTAACAATAATGTAATTATCTCGCTTATCAGTAAACCTCGAAATTAACTTATGATTGCTTGACTTTTTACCCTTGTGAACTGATTACGAGATTTAGTTTGGCGCTTCAGTAAAACGTTTGTTGCTGCGATGTAGATTCGTTTCAAGAACACCTAGTGTATTGATTTTCAAAATGTGAAAGTTTAGTAGAATTCTTATGAAACTTGTCTCATTTTGGTAGACATGTATGGAGGGTACATATTCTGTTAAATATCATATTTTTATTAATTAATATTAATATAGATTTACACCTTTTCTCAACACGTTGACTGCTGAAAATAACGTACAAGCGCTCCCCAGTGGTGGGCGAAGGCCCAGCATAGCAACTGAATCAGCGAACTCAATTGTCATTCAAAAATATTTCAGTCTGACGAATCACAAAAGAGCAGTGGTGATTGTGCTGTGTTACCCCGAGAGTAGACCAGTGGCGTATCCAGGGAGGGGGCCCAAGGGGGCCGGGCCCCCCCCCGAAATTTTTTTTTTTTAGTTACCCTGTACACACGGCACACGGGAGCGTTGCAATGCGCGTTCTAGAAACACTCAAATGAGTGCGTACACACTACACAATACGTGTTGTTATTATATAAAATGCCGGATTACTGGAATGTTATCAATAAAAACACTTAAAATGCAATTAAAACACGTCTCCGAAGATCGCGCGATCGGAAACCGCTATTGCCGCGATCGGGCGTGACGACGATGACGTTTCCGTAATCGAGGGAAACGATGATAACGTGTACGGCCGCGGGAGATGTTCGTGATTTTGACGCGATCGCGCATGATGACGATGACGTTTCCGTGACCGTGGGAGATGTTTATGATTTTGCCGCGATCGCGCAAGTCGACGATGACGTTTCTGTGACTGCGTCATATACGTTTCACGGTACATATAGTGTCTACTTCAGTATCCAATAGTCATTGCGTGTACATTACATATTTTTGGTCGAGTTTTCGATCACTGGACGACCATTAGTATGCTTTATTCTATAAGTTGAGTGCAGTTTTATTAGCTTGATTTATTTTATTAAAATTACGTCACGCAGATTAATAGTAGTTTAGGCAACTTGTTTAGATTTCAGAACAGTAAAAAACTAATTTTTAGTAGTAATACACCAATATTATTCTCTACTTTAGAGCCTCCAGAGGTGTTGTAAACTGCAATTTATCACAATAAAATACCAAAATTTTTCCCGGGGGGGACCCCCCTTCGGTCCTGGGGGGTATTCCATGCCCCCCAGACCCCCCGGATCGGGTCCCCCCCAAAGCAGAATCCTGGCTACGCCACTGGAGTAGACGTAGTTCACTGAAACACCCAAAGATAGCAGCACTGCATGCATTAGTAGCCAGTGTGTTTGTAATGTGGGCCGAAGAGAGAAAATCCCCAAAACCGGGACAAAAGCATTGCCAGACGGGATTTAAAGGAAATTTTAGTACCAACCTACACCAAAGTAAAGCTCACATTCTAAGCTACAGGCTGGCAACAATTTTAACACCCTCCGTCTAAGGCTAAGCTCACACTGACTATATATATTTCCGTTGGTCTGGTGCCTACTCGGCGCTAGCAGCTACAGTCAACGTGTAAAGACAAAAGTGAATGAGGTGATGACACTTTAATTTCTAGCATTAGCTCAAACTGTATATTAATAGAATTAATACCTCTAACAACCCATGACAGCTGGGGTGAAAAAAGTAAGTAAATGCAGCAATTAGCTACTTTGCCTGCTTTAATCAGTGCAAGGAAACGCACTTTGTCAGGTAACTGTAGGAGGATATCAGTTATAAATTTGCTTGGTAGCTACAAAATTTGTTACAATTGTTTTCCTGTTGAGGATTTGAAGGATGTTAAGGATCTTAAATAAATTAAATAAGAGGAGAATCAAATAATGTAACATAACACACAACATAGTCTGCATTTATGGATTTATTACAGTTCAGATATAAACATTTACATTCTCAACAGCAAAATTACGTAATGATACAGAGTTAGTAACTTTCTAAATAAATTAGCCATGATAAAAATTAACGCTATATACACCATTGAAAATAAAAGTGATCCAATAGTATCACAGATATTAAACTTTATCACTAGAAATTTTGAGACAAAATAAATGTCTGTTGATAAAAATAAGTATAATTCAAAATCTAATAAAAATACTGACATGCCAACATCGATGAACTCAAAATAATGGATAAAAACAATAAAATCAAGCCAAGCAGAATAATATTCATACGTTGCGTTAAAACAACAATTAAATTGAGTACCAAACTTAATAGTGAAGATCTCAACTCGAGTGCAATAAACACCACTATATACATCCTATAAACATTTTCAATATTTATACTATCATATTTTACAATGGAGGGAAGTCTTCAATATATACAAGATAAAGTAACATTACGAAAATAAAACAAGACAAAGTAAAAATTAAGTACAAATATAGGCCAAAGTAACAAGTGGAAATGTTTCTATAACAAATTAAGTAGATAACATTATTACCTAAAAACTATCGATCTGTATTTTAACAATAATTGCAATAAAAGATTAATCTACTTCCTATTGCAGTCTTTTTGACATCCGAAATAGTAACTAAGCCGGTAATATGTTCCTATTAAATATCGACTATGACACTTTTTAAATATACAAAACTCAGTTCTACAATTTCAAATTAATTCGTTAAAATACTGGTCACATATATACAAGATTATACTAGTTATATCTCATATCTCTTGATTTTATTTACATGTCTTTATACATAATGATATTTATTCAAGCCCACTCAAATAAAATTTCTCATCAATTATATGAGCCAATCCTACTTCCAGCTCATTGTTAGAAGTATAATGCTTCAATTGCAACACACGATTTTAAAAATAATTAAATTTATTGTATCTTCCTTAAGTTCTTAAGTCATAGGAATTTAAAATCTGAAAAAAAACCTGCAATGTACCCGAAAACTATTTTGAAGAAAATACCCTAACACATTTTATTTCTGCAGTTTAAAGGAATGGAATGTGCCATTTATTCAGGCTTTAATAACTTGCTTATTATTTTTCCCTTTGTTACAATTTCTTTTAACAATTTGTCAAATACAACAAATTTAATAATCAAGTTCAAGTACATCTGTACAATATTTTTAATATTGTATTGAACTCAATTGATTCTCCACCATTCTAATTAATTTTAAGCTTGACAAAACTTAAAATCAAATAAAATGAGAACCCAAATTTAAAAACCCAATTGTTTAAAATCATATTTGATATCCGACAAATAAGCCGTAAATAAAATATAATTGACCCATACGAATATACAAATTTACATTAATTTCCTAGTGGTAAGTTCATGAATGCTATTATGAGATGGGAAAAATATATTGGCTTTAACGAGTTTGTAATTGATATAAATACTATTATGTACACGTTGATGAAGTGGTTGAGAGGAACGCGAGTTACGCGGAAGGTCATTGCCAAGTTTCCGGGGGAAAGTTGGTCACGTCCGCTTGGTCCTGAACTGTGGCTCCATTACATGAATAGTTGATGCGGATCCTCATCTTCAGCATGCTCTGAAACAAAATTGATGTTACAATCTTTAGCCCGATGGTTCATATTTTTAACATGGTTGCAAGTACAGAACCCCGCAAAGCCTTTAAGTAAGAAGAAAGCCTTGCGCTAGCCCCAGTCCAAGTAAGAAGGAGGCAAGTACAGACATAAACTTTGACCAGGGATTGATTGGAACACAACTGCCTCAAAATAAGAATAATGTAAGTGTTAGCTTGGATATAATTTTGACTAGGGTAAAAAATTATTGTTACAAATTACACACAGCAATTTTGCCCTAATGGTACATATTTCATGTTTTCAACATTATTGCAAGGACATAATTTCTCATAGCCTTTGACCCATTGGCATACCAAAATTACACTATCAGACAACATTTTCATATGAATTAATTTTTTTGCAAATTTTCCATATAGGGAATAAGCTATTACCATAGGTCTTATGGTAAGATCTGGACCTGGGACTGATTTTCGTTTTGAGGTCCCCCAGATCTCACTTTTTTACTTATATTTTTGTTTTCAAAAATAGGTTATGCAACAAAAAAAAAAATAAACACAATAACTACTATTGCAGATAGAAAAATTTATTGACCCGTTAGTGCTGCAGTCACTCAGTTTTGTGTCAAACTAGTAGCATCTATATATATAAAAGGCAAAGCCCTCACTGACTGACTGACTGACTCACTCACTCACTCATCACTAATTCTCCCACTTCCCACTTACCTAGGAGGCTGAAATTTGGTACACTGATTCTTTAGGCATTAAATAGGAAAACTAAGTGGTTTTTATTCTGATCGGACTCTCGGGCTCTGCCCCAGTGGCTCTGGAGTTTCCCATGTTAACCTAATGAGTACTCATATTTAAATGGAATTAATGAATCTTAACAGCTGTTTCAATTAAACAAGTTGGTTCTGTTCTATGATGTTCAATAGCATTAAAGTTACAAGGATTACCAACAGAGTGCAGCACTATTATTTTTTTAAATATTTGACAACAGCTAATTTGAAACCAAAAGGTGAGTGAGCGTAGCGAACGAACTTCAACCTGGAGGCGCGTTAGCGTAGCGAACAAACTTCAACCAGGACGTGTGAGCGCAGCGAACAAGCTCCAACCTAAAGGTGAGTGAGCGTAGCGAACGAACTTCAGACAGGACGTGATTGAGCCATGCGAACGAGCTCACATATGAATTTAAACGGGGCAAAGCCCGCGGGTACAGCTAGTTGACTATACACAGAAGTCTGTGTATAGTCAATGCTAGTAGCAATGTCCCAAAACCGAACATTTCTGGGAATACCAAAACGCATTAGCGGCGGGAAAGAAATATATCGCCCAAGTATGCCAGTGGGTTGAGCAAGAATAAACGTCGTGCACTAGCCTCCAGTCTATTTAGCAAGCATAAAGATAAACTTTAACAGGGAGGTTGGTTGCAACATGGCTGCTGTTGGGAGTTCGTCAGGGAGGCTGAATCATTATCTCAGAATCACTTCAACCAAGTTCAACCGCATTCACTTAATTGCTGAATGTCCAAAAGCTAGACTGATACGAAGTCCATCTAGGTAAGAAGGGGTATAATCTGAGTATTTATGTAAGCAATCTTCATCCTGCTAAGGACTTACCTTGTTGGGATTGACTACTCGCACTGTCTGAGTGACCTGGCCGCCCGGGCTGATCACTGTCCCCGACGGAGGCATCATCTGTAGTTGGAATGTCTGGGAACAATATTTCATGTTAAAAGCAACACATGACAAAAACTGATAAATTTTACTTGAATCCTAAAGGGGCCTGATCTAATCAAGATTATGAGACAACACACAGCTAACTAGCCCAGTGGCTACGTATTCTTGGCCAGGTACTATTTTCTGTACAAGGTTCATTCCAAAAGGAGTTCTAAAAATGAAGCAATTTGGATGCTTTTCATAAAAATATTGTAATTCTTTCATATAAAATGCAGCTAGCAAGGGCACTTTGACCAATAAGAAAAAGAGAATTCATGTGACACTAAATAATACTAGTATTAACACGGACCAAATCCCATAAGAGGGATGGGCATAGACAAGGCCACACTAAAAAAACAGGCCGTAATGCTCGTCAAGCATGACGTCACGATAGAAGACGGCAATGACGTAACTACGGTTATATTTTTGTTTTCGATGAAAAGATTAAAACAAGCAGCTGATCACAAACGGCAAACATTACGTCATTGCCGTCTTCTATCGTGACATCATGCTAGACGAGCATTACAGCCTGTTTTTTTAGTTTGGCCTTGGCATAGATCAGACAAAGACATATTTCCAATAAATTTAACTGCTACAGATTCCACATCCTGAGTAAGTTTCTTACCTTAGGCACAGCTGCTTGAAAGAGGAACTCTGTGAAGGGTGTCTGCGTCTGGTTGGTGGCAGTCACATGGACTACAGTGGTTGTTGGAGCGTCCGTCAACCTTTCCACTCCGAACACCAGCCGCAGCCCGTTCTTATCAAACGCTACAATCTCTGGCACTGGAAAAATCACATTGATTAATAGTTTGCCTTTAATAACAGATCTAACAATTTCAGCACATCAAAAATTATACTGATGGTTTTTGGTTAACCATGTTCCTGTTAAACTTAAACAAGCTTTCTGGGTCTCCATGAATTTCATGTGAAAACTTCCCTTGTTGCTTTGATTGAACAATATCTCTGTTTTCAAAAAATTGTATTAGGCCCTAGAATTAATTCATGATTTTAAAAGTCTTAATTAACAATAGCAACTTATAGTGACTTCAGTGACCAATGGATCCTTTGGAATTGTATCTTTCTAGAATCAATGAGCTACATATATAAAAACACAGTCCATACCACTAGGGGCCAGGCCGTCCAGCAGGTTGGCACTGTTGAGAGAATTGAGGAGAATGTTGTTGTTGTTCTGTACTGTTGTGACCGTGGCACTGGTCAGCTGGGTACTGGGGCCGTTGGTGACGATAGCCAGGTCGTTGGTGTTGGTGTCACTGTTGATTGTAGGAATGGTCGTCGTCCCTACGTCCAAACCACCTGAAACCATCAGTTTTAAATTAGTGAAGAAGTTAAGTTTTACAAAATAGAATTCACTGAGGGATTTGGTGTGATGAACTACCTCAGAAGAATAAAGAGGATAGCAGCTAGCTTACTTTAGAAGAACAGGTAGGCAAAAGAACACACAATGAACACACTATTTCGTCCCCTGGGGGACTTTGTCGAGTGTAGAAAAAGAGAAAGAGAGTTCACTTGTTATATGCATGTTCTATTATTGCCTACCTGTACTTTTTATAAGGTAAGCTAGCTGCTATCCTCTTTATTCTACAATTCAAAATCCTGGCTTAGAGCCTTTCCTTGGACTAAACTCCCCAAAAGAGATGTGATACAAAAATTAAGGTTGTAAAGAAAATTAAGTAGGTACAGTAGTAATATAAAAATCAAAGTTTAAAAGTAGTTTAGTTGTGCTAATTATCACTATAGTTATAGCAAGCCTGAGTCAATCAAATTTGCTATGTACTTTGAAATTAATTTATAGATTTTTTTACAATTTCAAAGAATTCTTTCATTTTGTACTTCACCAATTTATTAACTATTAATGATGGTGTTTCATATTTGTGTCAGAACATTGCACAAACTGATTACTGAGATTACATAAATGAACACGTGGTTGATTTTGAGGTATTTTTTGCAATACAATTAAAAATAATCATAAACAAAAGTGTGATACAAGACTTTGTTTACCTCGGCTCCGTCACAGTTGGAAAGTAAAAATTAGAGAATTAAAAAACCACATAGGTCCATGTAATCGTCTGTATTTTATTTGGGGTGGCGGAATTGTACCCCCCTGGAATTGTACCCCCTGCAGGTTTGTGACGTCACGATGACGTCTCATTTTCTCGACCAAAACGGCGTGTACGGGCTGGAATTGTACCCCCCTCATAAAACTTTGATATTGTTATGCACGAGTGGTTTGATTAAATCCACTGGCATCTAAAAAACTGTACGGACCGGAATTGTACCCCCCTGGAATTGTACCCCCTCAGTTAGAACTCACTTTTATTTGGCCAGTGTACGGGGTGGAATTGTACCCCCCTGGAATTGTACCCCCCGACAGTCTAGCCCTTCTTATAGGACCGGAATTTTACCCCCCTGGAATTGTACCCCCTGGTGATCGCAGAAGAAGATGTACGGCCCGGAATTGTACCCCCTGGAATTGTACCCCCCTCCCCATTTCACCCAGGAGCTTGTCTATTATGATAACAAAGTAAAATCAAAACAATAGGCCTAGTTATGTTGGATATTAGAGGGGAATCACACGAAAGTGAACTGAACCAAGTTACCCGACACCTAATGAATTGCTTGTCGTGAAAGGATATTCTAAGAAACTGCAAATCAAGGCCATTCCGAGTGCGAGAGGTCTAACAGACTTCTTTGTACGTTATTCATTAATATTTTCTTAACCTTCCCAAGTAGGCTACTAACTGTTCATGGGTTAGCTTAAATTCACAAAGGTTAAAACTTTGACAAACCGTGAAATACTTTGTACCATGTAATTACATAAACAACAGTTGACTTATTCTCCATAAGAATAACATAGGAATTTTAAATTTTCAATTTTTTGGAATTTTCTCCGTAACCATTAACAGACCTGGGTTTACTTACAGAAGCTGAATACTTCTGTAAGTACAGAAGTACGCTCAATGGAGTTGTGATAACCACACTTTTATTTATTTATACTTTTATTAGGTATGTATGATACCTACAACTAAATTTTACAACAGGTATTTTGTCCTCCTTTGTCAATAATAGCTGTTCATAATTTGTTACCGAATGAACAATAATGCATATTATGTTTGAATGAACAAAAGTGAAATACATTAACTTCTTTTCACGGTCATATTAAATTACGTTGAAAAGAGTGACGTGAATAAATAACCATTCCATTCTTATAGCATAGTTATTGTATACAAACTAGTTTAGCTTAGTGATTAGGCCTATGTGCAGTAATCAAAAGGTAAGTATTTCAAATTTATATAACTAAGCCGAAATTCGCTGCTTGCGACTCCTCTTGAAAACAAAGTTTGTTAACAGCTGTTTTCTTTGGAAGCAGCTAATGGTATTTTTGTGTTTACGAAATATTTATTACTGAATATTGACTCTGCTTAAAATGCACAGATATAGATTTTTTATTCGTATTGTTTCGGTTTTCAATTCTGTATGTTTTATTTTCAATATTTTAATAACTGTATGTTCTTAAATTTAAATCTATAAATCGCGAATTAATTAGCTGATGTTACCTGTTCGCCATGTTATCTTATGGGACGTCTGTCACTAAACAACACCACTTGCGACGTTGCCAATTCTACCAGGCCGCGGCCTGTAGTTAAAGGTGGCCGTGGTACGTGCCGGACCCTGTTTCTTTTTAGGCTACACAAGTTGTTTGTGGCTTTGCTGGGTGCAATTTTTCAGTGAAAACTATGTCTGTATAATAGCAAAGCCATTACAACAACGTATATGACCATATTGTTTAAAACACAGTCTTCAAAGAGGCTCTGTAAACATGTAAAAACGTAGCTTAACATTATATTTTGAATAAGTTAATTTTCCAAAATGTAAACCCACGTCTATTCCTGAAGTAAGGACGCATACTTAAATCAACGATGCGTTTACTACCTAGTATTAACTCTATGATGTGTACTTGGACGAAAGCCAGGATAATAAATCAAAAACTCCTAAACAAACATGAAGAAGACATTCTGTACAATAACGGCTACGTTAACTATATTATTCAGTGATAATTATTTCTTAATTATTTCTGTAGTTCACTTAAAAACAACCTATAATTCCAAGATTACATACTATATCAAAGTATCTAAAGACAGGGGTTGGTGTAGTAGTCATTACAGAAAATTTGGTAAAATTGAAATGATCAGTATTAAAAATCTATTTTTCAGATGTCTGTACAGAGATTCAAATAATTTTTGTATATCGACATATCACTATTTCTAAGAAGTTATTGATAAATTGCAGGTTTAAGCATTAGTTTTTAATTTTCGGATGATTTAATCAGTAATATATAAAAATTGAATACTTGTGTCAGGCAATATTACAGTAATCATAAATTTTGTTTCTTTAACTGAGAATGCTCTATCCGATAACTAAAATAGCGAGCTGTGTTAGAGCTAAAACAGCAATGCGAGAGTTGGCCCAAAACAAGTTGGTAATTTTAGTTTGAAAAGTACGAACTGAACTACCGGTACTGGATTTTTAACTCATGAATTACTCATGAATTTTTTTTGGTTGGCCTGGTACCGAGTCTGGATATAATGGCTTTCTCGGTATGGTGGTAGATTCACTTTTCCTTTATGGCAGTAGGATGAAAATCCTTCGCCTCGTCCTCTTTTTTCTTCTTTAAAATGTAGCGCACCACATTTCTGACATTTTAATGCCATCTCGCCAAGTGAATGCTGCTGAATTCTTGTATTAGTCAGTGCAATTTTGTAAGTACACGTTGCCACTAACTGTACCAGCTCCTCGTCTGGGCTCCTTACGTTTTGCATTGCTTGCCGTATGTTGACTCGCCGTGTCCGACCGGCAATATTTCTTTTCCTTCGGGTCCTTGACATGTATAATAGAAACTATAATATAAAACATTTCTCCCGTCGTGTCCTATAGGTAAAATTTCTTTGCAGGGTTCATAATTATTTTTAAAAAACATGCAAACTGTTTACACTTCAAAACCAAACTTAACATCTGGGATTTATTTTTCTTTAAACTAATTTATTGACATGTGTTTCAGAATATAATAACATTCAAATCAATCACAATGTTATCCTTATGGAAGGAACTTTGAGGGCAGCCCATGCCCTTAAAAAGATATATTTCGAAAATCTAAAGCCTGTTTGCACATCTACACACCTAGACGAACATTTTGGTATATAATATGTCAATATGTGGGGTTAAATCTAAAAAAAAGCCTTATTGTTCATAAAGTTTCATGTCGCGTATTAAATTTAAAGATAGATGTAATCAGGTTGGTCATGGTTTAAAGAAAATTAATAAAATATGCATATAGCCCGAGGCGAAGTAAAGTGGCGAAGCCAGAGTTTTGGATAATCTCTTCACAATTATAGTTCCTTAGTACCATCGCTATATTCTGTACAGGTTTGAAAATCCAACATATGTCACTGTAGAAGGCATTCTCTAGTACTCAATTTTCATAATACCAATTAAGTTTATCGAGTGGGTTTAACTCATGAATTACTCATGAACACAATTGCAGGGAATACAATTACTCATGAATTGCTCATGGGGGGTACAATTCCAGCCCGTACACAAACCAAGTTAGCTGTCCAAGAGGGAGGTACAATTCCGGGGGGTACAATTCCACCCCGTACACATTTGGCTTTCTGATGGGGGGTACAATTCCAGGGGGGTACAATTCCACCCCGTACGTAAATATTTTGATGTTGGCAGGGGGTACAATTCCGGGGGGTACAATTCCAGGGGGGTACAATTCCGGGCCGTACATCTCCTGCTCTTTTTAATATCTAATATAATTATCTGGTTCACTGATCACTTGCCCACATTAAATAGATTAGATTTCGTTCAAATCAAAGTGTACGGGGTGGAATTGTACCCCCCCTAGGCGTGACGTCAAAATGACGTCAACGATCACCGGGGGGTACAATTCCAGGGGGGTACAATTCCGGCGACCCTTTTATTTGACAGCACAATCTGAGAGCTCAAGTAGTGTACTTACCCAGCAGGTCGAGCAAGTCCTGATTGTCTGTAGGTACGATAGGTTTACTCTGCTCTACAGGTCTGACAATATCTCCTTCCCCTGTGTCACCACCCAGCAACACCAGCAGTGCGTTCTGTAACATCAGTCATCACTGTCAACTCTTATATCCAACTCTGACACATCAGTCACTCCCAACGCTTGGAGTCTGTAGGTACGATAGGTTTACTCTGCTCTACAGGTCTGACAATATCTCCTTCCCCTGTGTCACCACCCAGCAACACCAGCAGTGCGTTCTGTAACATCAGTCATCACTGTCAACTCTTATATCCAACTCTGACACATCAGTCACTCCCAACGCTTGGAGACTGTAGGTACGATAGGTTTACTCTGCTCTACAGGTCTGACAATATCTCCTTCCCCTGTGTCACCACCCAGCAACACCAGCAGTGCGTTCTGTAACATCAGTCATCACTGTCAACTCTTATATCCAACTCTGACACATCAGTCACTCCCAACGCTTGGAGACTGTAGGTACGATAGGTTTACTCTGCTCTACAGGTCTGACAATATCTCCTTCCCCTGTGTCACCACCCAGCAACATAGAAGCATAGAATGATTAGCTAAATGTAGCAATGACAAGAACAAAAAAATCAGCAGGTTTGTAGTAGTATATTACACCATAAGGCAGGGAAATAGGTGATTACTGTAGGATCCTGATATATTTTATTTGAGTACAATAGCCTACTGTTAACATGGGTAAGATGTTTACAATACTTTTCACAACAATGCAAGCAAAGAATAGGTATACTGAGTAAGTAAAAGGCAATCAACACTGTTTGATATTCACTTTAACAAATTTAAAAAGAATTTTCTACTTTTATAGGGTAACCAACCTTTCCAACATTTCTTTTTGAAAAAAGTGTCCTGCAAGTGTGGACGATGAGTTTACCACACTCCGGCTGATTTAACCGAGCCCTTTCTGTAAACAATGACTTCCTTGTCTACAAGTACAGACACCAGCTGCTTAGTGTGCAATGTGACAAATCTCAGCTGTTCTATGTGGACATGACAAATTACAAAAACAAACGGTTGAAGATTGTGCTTGGATGTATTTCATGAACCTACCGAGTCCTGTGTGTCTACCGGGGTGATATCTAACACCTCGGAGTTCGTCTCTGGCTCCACCTCTCCGTTGGTCTCAGCAGGGTTTGTCCGCACCACCTCCATCGGCGGCATTCGCTCCAGCAGTGGTCTTCGCAAATGGTCATACTGCAAACAACCAAAACTTTACTGACAAATCTGTGTTCCCTTTTGCAATCAGTTTTCAAATGCATATGGCTACAATCAAAAATACGTTGGTTGAAATATGAAATTGACTTGAGTTGCAGTAATAAAAACTAGGGATGGTCAAGTCTCGAAATTTCGGGAAATTTTAAATCTCGTTACACGAGACGAGATTTCTTTTTGGCCGAGATTTTTATCGAGACGAGAATAAAAAAAAAAAAAAAAAAAAAAAAAATTAAAAACGCCTGCAGAAAGTCGATGCAATACCCGCAATACAGGAGCGTGTTGTAGTTGCGTTTCCTTTGCGAAGGCGTTCTTATTTAATTAATTCTTTAAATGTAAATATTACTTTAATTATTTTAATAATATTACTTTAATAACATTTGAGAAGTTTTGTTAAGTGTAAGCAGTGTGAGGAATGTTTTATTACTATAAAAAGTCAAAACAAGTAACTATTTTATAAAAATTAATATTGCTTTTATTTTATGATTTATTTTATTTTAGGATAAGTTGAACTCTATCCTAACTGATATCACTATGTTTCCTAATCGTAGGCATTTTTAATAAGTTAGGCGTGATTAATAAAAAAATGTTATGCTGATGTTTTTTAATAAAAGATTGTAAATATTCTTGCCTATTATCATTATTTTTGTATTTAAACAGTCATCTAACAATGTTACAAAATCAGGTAAAAATTTTGAACGTGCATTTCCCATTGTGTATGAGAAGGGAAATCCCGTCTCGATCTCGTCTCGAAATTTTATGAGAAATAAAAAATCTCGTCTCGTCTCGTCTCGAACTAAAAATCTAATCTCGTACATCCCTAATAAAAACCATTGAGAAAGAGTAAAACTTTCAATTGATCAAATGGGATATTTTCCATCAGTGACACACCCTACAGTCCATCGGGCTCTGAGTGACTTCCACTTGTTTCGTGCACCAAAATTAAGACTTGATTAGCAGCCTTAATGGAAAACTCACTAAGTAATTTTAAAAAATGGAGTAAATTTCTAAATAGGGCAATAAATTGCATACTTACTTTGCCAAACAGTTGTGTGAATTCTACTCCTCTCTGTTGTAGCTCCATGTGTACATGGCTTCCAAACATCTCCACAAGCTCTTGGATTTTACTGAAAAGAAACAAAATCAGGAACCTTAGTTCTAATTAAAACAAATATAAACCTTTGATCCATAAATTTAACCATGCCTAGGTAATGGTGATATTTAACTATGGCTGTGGGTTTATTTGTCAAGTTTATCTCTCTTTTCAGCAGGAGAACCAAATCGAGTGACATTAGCACATAGAGTAACTTTTACCGGAGCGGCCTATTGTTTATTTTAGATTGGCTTCTGCCGAACAGGTAGAACTCATGAGTTACCTGACTGAGACAGAATTCAAACACTCTACCAATCTTGGAAGACGATGATAATGTTTCTGTGACAGCGGGTGATATTCAGGATTTTGCTGCCATCATGGAAGCTGAACAACCCTAACATAGACAGGTTGGAAACACTACGCTATACCATAATACTCACCCTGTATCACAGTTGAAGCGAGTGCTGAGTTTGACCAGTGACATGAGAGCGTACTGCTTGGTGATGGTGGAGTTCTGAGGAGACCACAACAACCTCTGGTATACCTGGATAACTTCCATCTCCGTCACCTACAACACAACCAATAATCTCACTGATATACACAATAGTAAATTCTTATCGTTCAAATGTGATTTTATATAAAATTTATGGGAAAAGTTTTAGTAACACAAAGAGTTGTTGGGCATTAAAACTTAGATAAGGATGCAACCCTCCACGCAAATTATACAGCCCTCTTATAGAGTACAGATAAACTAACCAACTGAAATAAAGGGGACTAGGCCAATTTGCATAACCTATTGTTTTGGTAAATGAAGTTTGAAATACATAGTTACAAAAATGCAATCACAAAAAAAATACTAATAGTTTTTGCTACTTGTGTATTATTTACCCGTTATGGTTTTTATAAAAATGTGGATGGACGGGTCTCAACATTTCAGGAAATTTCCGGCAAATTTTAAATTTTGTTCTACGACACAAGATTTGATTTTGATCGAGATTATATATATAAAAAAACGCCTGCAGAAAGTTGATGCAATCCCGGAGTGTGTTGTTGTTGCGTTTCCTTTACGAAGGCGTTCTTATTTAATACATTCTTTAGGGGATGCGTAATACTATCCTCCGGAAAACCAATATGGGAGCCGTGTCTGCGACTGGAATAATACCCCCTCGCTTAGCAAAATGTGATGCTATGTAATTGTAATTTTAATTTGAGTAATTCCACTTGATAACAGAAAAGGCATGTGGGGAATATCATACAGAATTTTTAAATGTAACAGCAAGTGTGGTTGGTTAGGTTAGGTTAGTTTAGAACAGTATGACAACGAAACTTGAGTGTACATGACTGGAAAAATGCCCCCCAATCTTTGACGTCAACATGACGTAAAGAACCTGCTTGGGGGTGTAGTTGGCCAGGAGGCAGTCTTCCGGCGACCTATTTTTTTACATGTAAATATTGCTTTAACTGTTTAACAGTCTTTTGTTGTTTTGATTAGTGTAAGCAGTGTGAGAAATGTTTTACTAATGTAAACATAGCCAAAACATGTCACTCCAAAATCATTCTAAAAATAATATAAGGCTGAAAAATTGTAAGTTCTTGATACTTAACTAGTAAGTCTGATGTTTTAGACTGATAAATTTTGTATTTTTCAAAGTTGAACTGATTTTTCATAACTGATATCACCAGGTTTCATATGTGTAAGAGTTATTTTTAATAAGGTAGACCTAATTAATATTTGTTTTTTTAATACTGATGTTTTTATTTATGTTTTTTTTTTTTGTTATAAAAGCTTTTAAATATTCTTGCCTATTATTACTATTTTTGTATTTAACCAGTCTTTCATAAGTCAATAGGTTACAACAATGTTACAAAATCAGGTTAAAATGTCAAACGTGCATTTCCCGTTAAGAAAATCTCGTCGCAAAATTTTATGAGAAAGAAATAAAATGTAAATTTGTTTTGTTTATCATTGTTGCTATCTCCAAGAATGTTTAATATTTTTTAATCAATTAAATTTAACAATTTGATCAATTAGCAACCCTTTGTGCAAAAGGAAAAATTTCCGTCCTGTCCCCAAGAAAAAAAAAAAAAATAAAAACCTGTCCCGATGATTGGAGATATTTCCCCAAAATGTCAGGACCTGTCCATCCCTAATATTAAAGTTATTGGCCGTACCTTGACAGGGGAATCAGGTGCGTACAGCAGACTGTCCCCGTACTCTCCGATGCACCACGTGGCCACCTGAGTGAGGGGCTGGCGATCAGCTGTGTCACTCTCCAGAGCCATCCACAGCTGTTGTACGATGTAAGTCTGTTGGGCCGTCGTCTCTGAGATCAGCTGGATAGTGCTGCTCACAACGTCATCCCTCACGTAGTTACCAGCCTGTCAATACACATTAGTTAGGCATTTAATGGCTATCATCTAAATTTGAATTGACAAATAAACACTACACAATGGGTATAGTTGTTACACATAAAATATAAGGATGTCTACCAGTTGACCACTAAATTTCAGTGACTTTAGGGGACAACTGTGACGTTAAAACGCAAAACATTTTCTGCCGATAAGACAATATTTTTTGGTGACTTGATCATTAGATAGTCGGGTATAAAATCTTTTAGCGGTAATGATTTGAGCTTTTGGCCTGCTCCCAAAATATGTTTGCTTTCATTGATTCTGCATTGTGAATTAAATGATTATTTGCAACAAACATATGTACCGGTAGTATAAAACTACAGACAGCTCTCTTCAGAACTTTATTTTGGTAAGTTTCTATGTCCGATTTTTTATGTGACTTTTGAGACCTTAACATGGAAATGTTTTACTTTTCCGTGATGCCCTAGTAAAATTTAGTGAATTCTGATTTTGTTGACCGGTAGATACAGGGTTTTAGCAAAAAAAGTCTCATCAAAAGGTAAAAAAACAAATTGCTATAATTGAGAAACAACTTAATTAATTAATAAATAGTACAACATGGCCTAGAATTAAGTTAAAAAATTACATCTTTATTATAGACAATTACTATAGCACTAAAAATGTTTGTGAGACCAATAATTTTTCATGGAGAGATGAATCTAATCCACATACTGACTGAATCCTTTATTAATTGGTGATCACAAATTGATCTTACAACAATTAAGTTATCAACCATAATTGATAAACTCCAAAGATAAAAGGGCCTACATTGTCAATTCAAATGTTGCAACTGAGTACACTAATTTATTGCATAAACTGTTTGGACTATGTTGCAAAGTACAATATCTTACATTCTAAGCAGCTAAGTCATTCATTAATGTAAAAAAGAAAGTTCAAAAAGCTACCTACCGCAACCAACACTCTCAGCAAAGTGTCCAGATGCCATTTCTTGTTTGGAGCGAATCTTTCAGCCGCGTGGACGATGCTGGACGAGCATTGTGCCTTGAACTCCGGATCAGTGCGCTCCAAAAACAGCAAAAGCTCTTTCATCATAGCACGGATGTTGTTGCCGTTTACCAATGCAAAACTGAGCTCCAACGCACGCCGCCGGATAGACACATCTGGGTCCTGGCAAATAGATAAAGTGTAACTACAAATAAAATGCCCAGCCTAGTATTTTAGTGTTGTACAAATCTAGAATCTTATCTGAATGAAAGTCATAACATACTGAAATTGTTTTTCTTATGTTTTACTTCTAAAAGTGTAAGCAAGACAATGTCAACACTCTAAAAAGTAAATGGTTTAATTTTAAAATGTGGAAATAATAGTTTATCTGGGATAAAAACAAATAATTACTTTATATGCACAGATGAATTTTTCATAGCATAACTAAAACTAGCAACACTTAGGAAACAGCTAACAGCCACACATTTCTGCAGATTCCCCAGATTTTTGGGGACTACTGCAGATCCCCCTGGAATAACTAAACACATGGTTCAAAGTAATGAGAAGAAAGAAAGGTATTTATCCTGTGAATCATGAATATTTAATGAAGGAAAAAACTGATCAATGGCAATTAGTTTCAGCCTTATCATAAGAAATAAGAGAGTTTCTAACTAAATTTACAAAAGTAAACAGTTTGATTGTAGGTAGCAAGGGCCGCCTTAATAAATGGGCTAGTGCTCAGGGGAGCAAGAGCTTTTTAGGCTTTTTGGGGGCAAAAGGAAACTTCCACGACAAGATAGGTGGAGAGGCGCAATCATCTCTCGGGTCTACAACGAATCACATACAATCCGAGGGCCAGATTGTACGGCACACACCTACATTGGGATTAAGATGACACTGAGTACAAACCTTCAAGCACTCCAGTATTGTGGTCCGATGTCTCTGCACGGCACTCGTGTCAACGTAGACAGTCTTCAACAGGGTGTTGAGTGCAACATACCTAATGTTCTTATCATTGTTGAGCAGGAATCTGCCGAGAATGTTTATCGCTAGTACCTGTAAAATTGGACACAAATAACTTTTTGTATGGCATTACAAACCAACACGGTAAAGATATATTAAACAAAATAATTGGGACTGGGCTTTTTTGGATCACGTGATGTTTGAAGTTAGTCAAAATAACAGTGAATATAAGCCAGTATAACAATCATTAAATCATTTTTATCCTATTCAGTGCAAATTGAATTCTGGGGCAGAATATCCTGGTATCCAGTAAAGTAAAGAAATTCTTGATCGAGAGAAATTGATAAGAATGCGCCAGGCTTGGGTAGGGTTTTTTATTTTTGAGCCAAGCTGAGCTTTCATTCTTGCAATCGTAGAAATCAGCTGCAAGTATGCGCATATGAAAATTTATGATTTTACTATAACACCAAAAGGGCAGGAGACGTATTACAATATTTAAAAAACCGATTATAATTAGGTTATTTTGACCTAATATAAAAAAATAAAAAGCGACCATTTTTTGGCCAGTAACTCAAAAGGTAAACATTTTTTACCTAGCTGATCCTGAGGTATACAAGTTTGGATTGCAGAACCTAAAGAATGTCAGGAGATAATTGTATGAACCGTTGAAAATTTGATGACACAGGGTGTCCACAGAACATTTGTCATTAATTTCCATGACTATCCATGACAATTTACTATTGATTTCCATGACTCACGAACTTTCTCAAAAACTATAATATAACATACACACACGAATAATAATGCCTGGACATGTTATTTTGCAGAAAATACTGAAATATGTAATAACAGAGATAACAATGGAGTACTATAGGTAAAACAATGAACTAAAACAAACTCAAAAACTCATAAAATAATACAACTGTAATAAATTGAACTGTCGAACATTTGTGAAAAATCCTAAAAAATGCTACAACAGTCGGGGTAACGGCCGACTAGAGCATTAAATGGTACCCTCAAATCCATCCATCATTGGGGATTTCCATGACTTCTTGCCTATTTCTATGACTTTCAATGGCCAAAATTTTGTCCATGACTTTCCCTGACTTTCCAGAATGTGGACACCCTGCTAACAAATCCCTGATGGAACTAAGAATCAATAAACGACAACATTGACTAGATATTCTCACCCTGAGTCCTCCCTCGGACTTGATGTCCATGATAGAGAGCACAGTCTCGTAGAGGATGGTGTTGCCTACGTTCTTGCTGGTCTCTGTGTTAGTAGCCACCTGAGCCAAGATGTCGTTCATGGCTTCCGACGCCTCCACATCATTCTTACCCAGGATTCTCAGCAGTCTCAATATTTTGACCTAAAAGATTAAATGAATTATGTTAGGATATACTAAAAATATAACTACAGTAGACTCCCTCTTATCCGGACTACTCGGGACCGAGGCCAGTCCGGATAACGGGTTTTCCGGTTAAACCGACGTCCCCAAAAACTCACTGCCCACTTCCTGCCGATCTAGTCCGGTTAAACCAATGTGCTGATAATAATTGTCCAGTTAAACCGATGTCCGGTTAAAAGGTGTCCGGATAAGAGGGAGTCTACTGTATAACTATATATAAAAATATAACTAAAAGTTAGGGAATAAGTTTATAAAATTTTAAAATTCAGGTTTATATTAAATTTTATCAAAATTAAGGCTAATTCATCTGTTCAAAATTGAAATGCTACAACATTGAGGATTAAGGAACGGTTACACAACTAACAAACACTAAAAAGAATTTCATCAGTTGATTACATAAAATGATTTTATATACACAAGAAATTTCATAATTTGCCACTCCAAGGGGGAGGAAATAGGATCTTAGAAGGAAACCCTTCATGAAATCATTTCCTTGACTACTTGGTTGTGTATTTGTCGCTTCTCCCTTGTTGTATCGCAAAGTCTAAAGGTTTTTAACAAACGATGGAAATTGATTTGACGTCTAGAATCAAGTTCACTCATTTAGATAAACAAAGGTTGACAAACTTATTTCGTAAGCTACAATACCATTTTAAAACAAATAATTACTTTCTTTAGCTAAAGAAAACACTTGGCCTAAGAATGTACTTTCATGTATTAAGGAAATGCATTTACTACTTTCTTAGACTAGATGGTTGAGCATCCATTTATTTTTCTGAAAAAATATAATATATATATGCCTAAGCCTAGTCTAGCCTATTACAAGGTTACATCAAATATAGCACCTGTGGAAGGTAAAAATCACTTCAAACAAAAATAATTCCCTTTTAAGAATTTTACAGCCTCGTAGTAAACTATATAAATTTCATAAATTTGCATTGATAATCCCATACATTAATATCTTGAAACCATTAAACAGTATATAAACATATTATTAAAGTGTAACTTTTCACAATAACACTAGTTACTGTTTTGTTTCTGTTACTAACAATTTTGGAATGAGCTATCTAAAATTAACGTTGAAAGACATGATAAAAGTTAACTACAGATTCGACTTACCTGAAGGAAAGGATCACTGACGCCAGAAACATCATGTTCGGGAGAATATCCGGCCATGATGAGGTTCTTGAGTATCCGAACCAAGTTAGGAACAATCTGAAAACAACCGGCTTTATAAACAGGATAGCTGAGAAAGTAAACAAATATTTGTACAGAATGCCCACTTCATATCGGCAGTGAATCTGATACAAGCTTTAAAGAAACTTTGCAAAGGGAACTCAAGTTCACAATATAGTTTTAAGTAGAATAATAATTGTAATAAATTAGCCACCGCCCAATCAATATGGAAAACGTCTTTCAAATTTAAATTCATGCTCTGATTAAATATAATAAGAAATTTTGGGGCTAAGTTGTAGAAAGCATGCTATTTTCTAAATAAAATTATGTCAAACTAAGGTATGGATAAATTGTCTTTTATAAAAATGCTATCAGTAAAAAAAGTGTTTTCTTTCAATATACTTTTTCAATATCTTTCAAGGCAGGTGTTCTAAAAAGATAGTTCACATTTAAACCACACCCAAGTAAAATAAATTTTGAAAGAAGGAATAAAAAATGTAAACAATAAAAATTAAAGTCAATGTAAGATTTAAGATCAAAATAGACAACACATGAATTATAGAAACCAAGACATACAATGTTTAAGTCAAGAGTAAGTTTCATGGAGTATTTACAAATTTACATCAACTGGACTAGCCCAGCATGCAGTAAAATGATGAATGAATGAAGTGAAATGTAACCCAATATTTTAATGCATGGGAATAGAGCAATTGACTAAATAAATAAGTATTTTCAATGAGCCAAGCTCAGAATATATTAGTTTGAAAAAGTTATAATAGTTTGTATCATTGATAAAAAATATTTCCAGTTGTAATAAAAATTGAAATTTATGTTTCCTTACTTTTTTATGATTTACGGGGATTAAGATTTTATGTTTTTAAATATAGGCTACGAATATTTAAAAAAAAATCTTATTGAAAACTAACTACAGTAGACTCCCTCTTATCCGGACTCCTCGGGACCGAGGCCAGTCCGGATAACGGTTTTTCCGGTTAAGCCGATGTCCCCAAAAACTCATTAAAATGGACCGTTTACAGTGATATTCGACTTAAATTTAAGAGAGCATTGTATTTAGACATGTGATCACTGGTCTCAAATCTTTCCTACGAGAACAGTCGTTACAGTACCGCACACTTCCTGCCGATCTAGTCCGGTTACTTTTATTAAATCAACTGCAACACTTATTTCTTTTTACAACAGATCTACATGAATTAATTTAGTTGTAAAATAATTAGCTACATTTGTTAAGACTTTAAATTATGACAAGCTGCAAGATTAGTATTATATGAAGTCAAACTATTATTGTATATTTTATACCTAAAATGTTTTTATGATTTCTGCCAGTAAAATGCCAGTCTTACAGCGTAATATTCCTGAAAGTACAAAAATACGTCAAATGTCAAATAAGACCTAGTGGATCTTTGTCGAATCCACCTAGTGGACTCGCCTATTGGGTCTAACGATGATTGGAGAGTCCAATCAAAATTGATCACCACTTACCATACTTTATATGTATTTACCATCTTGTGAGTAAACAGTATAGGTGTACCTAAATATATTATTAAAAGTGTTATTTGACATATTTTTGTACTTTCAGGTAATTTAATAACACGTACGATGCTGATCAAGAAGTTATTTAGTGTAATCTTGTTTTAAAACACAACACTGGATTCAATGTGAATAAAGATGTTTGATTTTATTTTATTAACTAAGTCAACATAAATTTGCTATGGCATATTTATCTAATTGCTGTACTACATATCATGAAAACAATCAGATGACAATATACTAAATTTGGACCTCTACGATCGAACGTAAGATGCAACAACTTATTATTACTTTTTTTTTAGTAATCAATTCAAGGAAAATTGCCAACTTTAGATATAATTTTTTTTATTATAAACTTTTGTTTGTTAAAAAAACTTAAGTGTTTATGGCTTTGTGATATGAGATGTATTAAGTGGTATGAAGTTTGGTTAACAAACGTGCGCAAGCAAACTCTATCTAGTGAATGTCCAGTTCAGTGACTCAGAACTAAACTATTGTGTTTAAAGTTTTTTTTTTTTTTTTTTAAATAAAGACTTACAGTGTCAACATGATGATAAAAATTAAAATTAAATTTAAATGGAAAATAATTAAATTACCAAAAGTATGCAAGGATGTTTAAGATAAATCACAAAAATAAGCTTGTAAATAGTTTGAATGGGTTTGGCCTTAAAATATACATTTTTTTTTTCGTTTATAAAAGCTCTGACAACTAAAAGTGTTATTCTATCTTTTTTTCAAAAGTGACAATGATTGAAATAAAGTATAATATGTTGTGAACAAAAGGAGAGTTCAGTGAACCTTTAAAAGATGTTACTGCAACAAAATGTTCTCTCTTTCGGTCTTTTGTATTTTGTTTTTGAGAAATAACCACTTTAATATCATAGGCTAAACTTTCAAATAAGAAAATGAAAATGATGTTTTGTATAGTATCTTTACACTATCTAACCTTATACCACAGAAAACGTACTACTATAACCCAGAATGAGCATAGCAACGCTGGTGGCGCTGCCTACGGATTGACAGGCAAAGCTCTCTCAAACCGCTTAATGCTTTTTACCATGCTGTTGGCATTCTGGGTTATAGTAGTACGTTTTCTGTGCTTATACCTAGACACCGCTTAAAGAAAGGATCATGAGGTCTTCAGTTCTCCACAATTAAGAAGGATTTTCAATTAACAATTGTGTTTTAATGTTGAAATATGTATAATGTACTTTTATGAGTTACACTTAAGTATGAATATAAAAGAAATTTGCATATTGTGGAAAAGGAAAACACAGTTCATACCCATCTTGACACTATCTTAATTAATTAAAATAGACCTTAACACCAGAGAAGTCTAGATAACTAGTAGCTAAGAATACCAGTAATACATTCAAAATTCTATTTTGTCCATCAGGACTGCGTCAAATAGGTATTGAACACTTATGACCAGTTAAATTTTGAATATCATCTGGGAAAACCGATTAGACTTAAATAAAATTAGTATAAAATGTTTAATTCCAAAGTTCTTTTTCTTGAAATATTGTTTACATATAGCATAGTTGTTATTACACTAAGAAATATGTAGGGATGGTCAAGTCTCGAAATTTCGGGAAATTTTAAATCTCGTTACACGAGACGAGATTTCTTTTTGGACAAGATTTTTATCGAGACGAGAATAAACAAAAAAAAAAAAAAAAAAAAAATTAAAAACGCCTGCAGAAAGTCAATGCAATACCCGCAATACAGGAGCGTGTTGTAGTTGCGTTTCCTTTGCGAAGGCGTTCTTATTTAATTAATTCTTTAAATGTAAATATTACTTTTAACTTAACTAATATTGCTTTTATTTTATGATTTATTTTATTTTAGGATAAGTTTAACTCTATCCTAACTGATATCACTATGTTTCCTAATCGTAGGCATTTTTAATAAGTTAAGCGTGATTAATAAAAAAAATGTTATGCTGATGTTTTTTAATAAAAGATTGTAAATATTCTTGCCTATTATCATTATTTTTGTATTTAAACAGTCATCTAACATTGTTACAAAATCAGGTAAAAATTTTGAACGTGCATTTCCCGTTGTGTATGAGAAGGGAAATCCTGTCTCAATCTCGTCTCAAAATTTTATGAGAAATAAAAAATCTCGTCTCGTCTCGTCTCGAACTAAAAATCCAATCTCGTCCATCCCTAGAAATATGTGAAAAGTCCAATTGAAAAAAGGCACCCACTGTCTTAACCATGATTAAGATGAAATGACCAAGTGAAAGAAGATACGTGAGTAAATTTGGGAGGGAAGTTGAAATAGCGTAGGGAAGAGGATAATAAAGGTTATAATTACCTGCTTCCTGTCAAAACGATCAATTAAAATCGTTATTATTTAGTTATACTAATGATAGGTAACTATCTAATGATGGTAGGATCCTTTAGACAGTAACAAGGTAATTTGAACCTTTATTAGTTAATTATAGAGATAATGATAGGTTTACTGTAGGATCGTTTTGACAGTAACCAGGTAATTTAAACCTTTAGCTCATTAAAATGATCCAGAGGCAAATCCATCATATGACAGATGAGTTTGAAAGCAAATTTGTTGGGTACAAATCAATTTGGATTTAGTGCCCACAGGAGTAAGTAATTAATACCCGTTCATTGAATAAGTATCGGGTCTGGTTCACTGTAGCCTCAAAAGAGCAGTCTTCGACAAGATCCTGGCCTTCCTTAAACATTTGGTGACACTCAAAAACTCTTGTGCGGCTTAAAGCATCATACCCATAAGCTGGTTTGATGAGGGCAAGGGTCTTCGAAGCGGATTTCCGAGTTTAAAGCAAAACATCACAGAGTTGTTCGACGGTACACTCCATGTTGGCGCTACGACACAATAAAAAACACTAAACGCAAAAATCGACCTCCTGTCTCAACGAATCACTGTTAGGCTACTGAACCAAAGTGGTGAAGGACCCTTCTATCAAACCCAACCGGTCCGACCCCCTTCCACTCTCTTTTGAGGCTACAGTGAACCAGTCCCGATTGAATGAAGCCTGTACTTAGTATTTAGCTTCCATTGAAGAAGCTATTTTTGTTGTTTATTGCTTTAAAAACTACACCCAAGTAAATATTAATTCATCTTCAATGAATAAAGAGGGATTGTTAAAATAAATTTTGCATTTGAAATAAATAAAAAAAAAGATTTTTCTAATTAAAGACTTTCAGTGTCATCATGACGATAACAAGCTCAAAATATCAACATGGTGATAAAACTTTAAATGTAAAATAACTTAATTACCAAGAGTATGCAAGGATGTTTAAGATAAGTCACAAAAATAAGCTTGTAAATAGTTTAAATGAGTTTTACCTTAAAATGTAAATTTTTTCATCCAGGCTATAAAAGCTCTGACAACTAAAAGTTTTATACGATCTTTTTTTTTTCAAAAGTAAAGTACCAATGATAGAAATCTATATATAAAGCCAAAAGTACCCATGAACTTTTGAGAAAACTACAAGTCACACCCCCATAAACCATATATTTAAAATGTTCGTCATGACGAGAAACCTTGCGCAAAATTATCCATTATTTCATAAATTGCCCTATAAGGTCGTAATTGCTTTCCAAAGGGAACTTTCCATTTACCTAATGTTAAAAATATCTCAGCTGTTATTATTTGTTCGTATTACCATTACTGTATTCTGTTTTGTTTATTTTATCTTAACTTAACCAATCAATAGTTTTATTAATACTAATGTAGTAAAACGGGGTGGAGCAGCCTGTGGGTAACAGCTAGTAAAGTATAATATGAAAAGAAAAGGCATATGAATAGAAAACTAACCAAAACAAATTAAAACAGTTACTGAAATAGACGTTTTAGTTTGGAAATATTTATTTTTAGTTTTTTTTTTGCAGATTGGAGGCTTTCAAAAATATAACTTTGCTCAGATTAAAACTCACTAGGCATCGACATCTATTTCAGCTTTCAGCATTAATTAAAAACCCCTCAATCAACCAAGTATTCTAAATTCAAACAACGGACAAACATTTGAGCATGTTGGTTATAAATACAAGTGTTAGTGACACAACATGCGTCGGCATGCACGTGCATGATCAGTGTCAAATGAAGCAACACAAACGTAAAAGTTGCGTTTTACCTCTCTGTGGCCAGGATCCTATCAGAAGCAAAAAAACCCAGTTAGACAACAGACTAACGCTACAAAACTTAAATAACTTGTTCAAAACAAAAAGCAGCTCTGTCATATTAATATTCAAACTTCAGTTAACATTTAAAGAATTATTTTTGCAAATGTCAACACCTAGACTGCATATTGTGTTTGCAATCATTTCCTTCCACAATACTTCCATAAGGTGCCACTTTATTACTTGGATAACACTTTAGTTAGAAAGTTTATATACTGTTCAACTTAAGCAATGCTTTTGGTGTGTTTCAAAACCACTGTTTTAATTTTGTATGTTTTCTGATATAAGTACAGTAGAACCAGTCCACTGTGTGAAGATGGAGTATGGAGAATCCACCACAACCAAGAGTTACGAGAAGTATTCAGAGACCCTGGTATTGTAGAAGAGGCAAAAAGCAGAAGACAGGTGGGTCGGCCATATATTGAGGAGAAATGGGGAGAGCTTGTTGAAGAAAGGAGAGATCCGAGGAGAAGACCGGTAGGAAGACCAAAGGCTAGGTGATGGGATCAATTCCGGAAAGATATGGAAACAATGAGACTTGTGGAGGAAGATTCAGGGGGCCGAGAGAATTGGTCAAAATATGTTGGCGAGGCCAAATACGAGCTTTGGTACAAGTAGCCATGGCAGTAAGTAAGTACAGTAGAACCACTGACATCCGGCCTTAGTTTATGCTAGGGATGGACGGGTCCCGAAATTCTGGAAAATATCCAGGAAAAAAATATTCTCGACTTTTGGGGCGGGGTTACATTAAATTCGAGAATTTTTCTGAACGGGATTTGATCCAATCGTCGGCGATTTTGCCACTTCCCGAGTGACGATTACACCGCTATCGCGAGAGTTGTTCACAATAGTTTTGCGAACGCAGGAGGTGAAGACATTTCGATGATTGCGTCGTGATTGCGAGTCACTATGACGATTGCGCCATGACCGAGGAGTCATACCAACGATCATGCAGTGACCGCGAGTCATTACAACGATCGGGCCGTGACCATGACTCATATCAACGATCACGCTGTGACCTTTAGTCATTTCGACCATCGCGCTGTGACCTTCATTCATACCGACGATGACACCGTGACCGCAGAGTAATTTTGACCACCGCGCCATGACCATGTGTCATTTCGACCATCGCGCCGTGACCGCAAGTCACAAGTTTCTATACCTGTAAATTTTTACCCATTTTTAGGTTTTTTATAGATCAGTGCCACAAACGGTAAAAGTTTATTTTGTTTGTCTTTTATGGTAACTGCAATACTCAAGACCTTTAAAACAAACCATTTTAATGCACAGAAAAAAATCCCGTCCCACCCCGTCTCGAAAATCGGGAAGGAAATAAAAATGCTGTCCCAACAAAAATTCAATCCCGTCCATCCCTAGTTTATCCGGCTACTTCTTGGAAGTCAACATCGTAATATTATTCTCACGACTCACAGAAGAGCTCAGTAGTTGCATTATAGGCCTTAGTCTTCGTGGCTTAAACATTTTCACGATTTTTCTTTTGTACTTTGACATATCACTATGTGTCACTCAGTTCTCAGTTGAGCTAGTAGGCCTAACCCCTGAACTGTTGATTATTTTCAGTGTGGTTAGTACAGTACAGTAAATGACCCCTTTTTTTAAAGAAGTCAAGTTACAAATAGTGTACAGACGCTCGTGTGATGTTTTCCAACACACTTTTGCAAAGCGTAAAAAATAAACTAATGAACCAAAAATTGGCACGAGATGGTGCGCTTCTACAAGTTTCACAAGTTACATGCATTCTCTACTACTCACATCTATGCACCACGACTTAAACAACTGCTGTAAAATAAGTATTGATAAGTGGACACTAACTTGACCGCTTGATTAGAAATTGCCGCTATAAATCGGCAAAATTAAAAAATATCGGTGAAAAATATTGGACTAAAGACCCCCTGACGTAGGCTACAAACAATAACTTTCAGCTTTTTCTAAATGTGTGGTATATTCATCAATGATTGTTATACTTTGGAGATTTATTAAGGTAAAGTTTTAAAAAGATTTTGAATGCCAGTTTAGTCTAATACAAAAAAACTACAAAACAACAGAGGAAGAATGTATGTTATAATCTAATGCTGGCATTCAGGAAGTCGCTTAAATTTGTTTTGCCTTTTACCTTAGAATCCAAAAACAGTTTTATACATATCTTTGGAATTGTGGAAAAACATTTTACTGGTTAACTTCCTCGTTTAACAATGAAACCATAACTAAAAAAAACATAACAATAAAATCTAAACAATTTTTTAGATTTTGTAATTCTAAACTGTAAGCTGTCTCAAGAAAAATCAGCTGTCTACGGTCTAAATACTCGCTACGGACGCAATACCTGTACTAGTACACAGATTGGACCAACAGAAATTTAAAAGAATTTAACATGGATCAAAACAGCCTATCAGATACTACAATGCAGTGACACAATCCTCAAACAAGACAAAGATTCCCAAGCAATCTTTTTCAGAAATTTTTTATTCCAATAAAAATGGCAGAAAATAGGAAAACAAAATGTCCTAAATAGTTTCTGATGGCACCTAATAGGTTTAAAAATCAAGAGAGCTAAGTAACTTAGTTTAAGTTTAATTTTCTAGAAAGTTTTAGCTTGTAGAGAGCTTAAAACTTTTACTACGAGCTAAAACTTTTACTTGAATAATGAAACCTTAACAGATAAACACATCAATTTAAATTGAATGTAGAGATAGGATTAGAAAACTATTGATAGGTTTTATAATTTCTACTTTAGAAGAACTTTGAATTTCCTGATCTACAATTTTACAAAAAATTCTTAACAATTTGTGGCACCTTACAAAGTAATTTTTGCATATAAATTTGGAAAATATATTTGTCGTTTTTCTTTCAGTATAATCCCACCATAGGTCTAGTTTATTTGGTAAAAAATTTGTTTGGTAAATCATTTATACATCAAGAAACAGTTCAATTGAAACCATATAAATTACACTGTACAGTAAAGCATATAAAAAGACCTTTTACAAAACGTCATAAGGAATAGATGATTTCAGTGTTAAGACAGGTTAAAAAGAAAGTTATTTTTAGAGGAAAAGTTATTGCAATTACAGTATTATTGCTTGGTAAAAATCAATAAAGTTACAACAAAACATAACATTCAACAGTTTTTGAAAACATGCACACATTGGTGATTTCAATTATCAGTGAAAAATAGAAGCCAATTAAACTTAAAACTTAAAAAAATACTTAAATATTACAGCATTTCAGGGAGTTTAAGCTTTTAAAATCAAATTTGATATAAATAATAAATTCATTTCATAAAAAAAATACGTACATTGGTACATTTAATTAATTATTTCATTATTAGTGGAACTTTTACAAAATCATACCCTGAAAAATATAATATTTTCATATTTGTCGTGAATTATTCCAAATAAAATTTTCAAAAAGCAGAAAATAGTACCAGAGTTGTCCGAGACTTTTTGCAAATACTTTAAAATTAGATCAAAGGAGAACTCAGAATAAAAATTTTTACTGTAGATAAAATGTTTTTAAAGTGATTTCTGTAAAAGCCATCACAGGAGGAACAAGTTTCAGAATGTTGAAACTAGGGAAATAGGCCTAAAGTTGTTCTTTTCTAACATAAAACAACAAACTTCTCTATATCACTTATCATTTTGATATTCATCTATACCAAAACTTCAGACTGCTCCTGGGTTAAATGGATGAAACGCATATCTCCATAATTAAAATACTTTTATTACTTCAAAACCCCCTGAAATACTGTGAGAGGACGGTTATTAGTGACATGCTCAACTCAAAACGTAGTTTACCTTTTTGAAGTGGTTGAGTGTGTCTACGCTCTGTTCACACATCTCGGTAATTAACGTAACTCCGGTGATCAAAACACCTGCAAGACATTGTTTGTTAATATCGATGTTAAATAAACAGCATTAAAAGTAGCAAATAATTTACAAAGTTTGTCTATTTTTTACAATGATGGGTCCAGAAATTTCAGAAAATTTTCTGGGATCTTCAGGTAGGATTGAATTTTGCTTTGGATTTTCTCAGGACAGGATTTGTTTTAACTATCATAGAGTTTGTCAAGATCCCAAGTAACGTTGATGATATCTACGCAATTGGGGGAGATTATAATGAATTTGCTACGATTGCAGGAAATGATGAAGAATTTTGAATGGCCAGTGACGATGATGAAACCATATAAATTACACTGTACAGCAAAGCAAATAAAAAATCTGTTCTTGTGATCATGGAACAATAAGTCGTTCCATCAGTTAGACTTTGTAAAAAAGTTTGTGTATTCGTCAGCTTATTGGTAATTTAGATCAGCACAATCTATCGGTGGCTCACATCAACTACAACGATTTTTACCGGAAAAACTGGCGACAGCTTTAACATGGGGATGAAATGTCTAGTTGTATCAAAAGCCAAAGATTATACTTTAAGCAGAAATTTAGAATTTATTGTTTAATTATGGATATTGGTTTATATTGATAGATAGTATTTCATTTTGTTACTGACCGTACAATATCCTTGGATGTTGTAATGTAATTAAATATTAGCAATCAGAATAAAAGAGTTGCTAACAATAAATGAATGAGTAATTCTATATTTTTAAAGGTAGTTTCTCTGTACGATTTCCACTTACCATGATTTTTCTCTGACAACAGTGACCGAGTGGCAGGCAGAAATATTTCCATGAGTTCCGGCACCTTGAGTATGATCCTGTACGCACACAACGCAGCTTTCTTGCGTACGTAAGCGTTGGGTGACTTCATCAAGCGCTCCACCTCGGCGGCTAAATCTCGCGACATCTCAGGAGAAGCTATGGCGCCTAGTGTGCACAACGCAAGCCCGACCACAAACTGTACGGAACTGTTGAGGTCACTGAAACATGGGAAGAGAAATTTAGGAATGTGTCTTTTTAAAATATGAAAATGAATCTCAATTTAAGTTGCTTGTTTATGGATATATCTTCCAAAATGGTTTACCAGGTTCAAACATAAAGGCTTCAAGGCTAAGTTGACTTCGTTGAAAAAAATTCCGTTTTGGTGTAGACAAAAAAATCCAGAAAAGGAAAATCCAGCCTGACTCTTAGGCCTCTTATTTAAACTCTGCGGTTTGCCGCATGCTGCTGTGACCTGCAGCCCTAAAAGTGCATTGAGTTAAATGAGAGCTTTTACATCATGTGGTGGCTGCCGCACGCCGTTTTAGCAGGCTGGATGCACAACAGCGTATCTACAGGCTGTTAAAACGTAAGGTCCCTTGGTGCATTGGTTTATATAGGAGGTTTTAAACTCAGTGATACACCACAAAAGTTCTGTCAACATGAGCACAGCAAAACCCTCCCCATTATGTGTTTATTAAGTTTTAAAGCATGATAATGATGCAGACAAATTATTACATACCGTATTCATATAGCCAATATAATATTTCACACATTTTTTGGGTTAATTAATTTACTATATAGATTTTAGGATTTTAAATTATTGGTATTATTATATCAAGCTAATTAAATTATTTTGTCCTGTTAAGTTTGGTCTGCGTTTTAGCGGGGTGCTCCAGCCAGAAAGTATTATTTGAATACAGGCCTGTCATCGAATTAATTTTATTCTCCCTTCACAATAACTACAAATCACTTTTAATAGTGAATATATATCCTAAAGTTAGTATTTTGTGACGTTCGCTATACGTGACGGCACATAATATAAGAGGAACCTTACAACGCTTTGAGCCCTGACTTAGCTATGGACAGTTACGAGTATAGTTACTTTTTCAAGCTGTTTGTGATGAGCAGATGCACGTCTTGTCGCTCATCCAGCAACAACATGGCTCCGAGGTAGCCAATCCTCTTGTCTGTGAACCTCGGCGACGCAATCAGCTTCAGACACTCCAACTGGCCAAAGTGGGCTTTGTATCTACAACACATTGTAAACATAAAGTGGTCGCATTGTTTTACACCTTGTTAACTACAAACACTGACCAATAATATGAACATTAAATAGTCAAATTCAAAGTATGTTGAATCACACACAGTAACAGACTTCACACACGTAAGCCTTCTCAATTCAATTTTTAGAATCAAAAAGATTCACTTTATCAAGTCGCTTAGTTACTTCACAGCATTAGTGTGGTAAAGTAATGGGCCTATGGGTGTTCAAAGATTGAGAGAAAAGAAATAAAATTGGAATGCTTTGAACGCCAACTTATCAGCTGGTAACGACCAATTCAATTCTTGATCTGCCAACTTCTGCTGAGTATAAATTGAAAAATTAAATGGGTCCCGAGTCTAGGTCTTACCGTGACACCTACAATAAAAGCTACTTCCCTATAGGGGAATTCGTTAAAAACAATGACAAAGAAAAGAACAGCACAAAGTAAAATTTGACTATCTTAACACGTTCTTGAATTTACTACCTAAGATTATCTGAAATAAATTAATCTCACCCTAGCATGTGTATGTACAGCAGTTTGGCGATGTTGCGACATCTCCACACACTATCCTCCTCGCGGAACGTACTGCGGATGTAGGCACATTCCTTGTTGATCACAGCTCGCTCCTCGGCAGCCGTGCGTGCCGCACGGATCTGCCTTATCAGGTCCCTCAGCCGCATCGGGGTCGGCGTGCGCACTGCAACACCACCTTTACTTAAGTACACTTTCTACATGAATTCAAAAGGTACTAATATAACCTCGAGCATGTTTCATGATACTAAAAAACACTGCCTTTATTTTAGTCCACCTGAAGAATTTAGAAACATAAAGGTTCAACAAACCTAAAACTTGCATGTTTATCGTTACGTTACATAATTGTTTTTAAGTAAAATTATTACTTACACTATAGAGGTAGCCTAATCTAGACCATATTTATTATTTAATATTGTAACCCTGTACTTGACCTAGCTGAAATTATTCAATTATTATGGATCATTGAGCATTGGGATCCCGGCAAACAAATTAGCTGGTCTTAAGTCAGTAATTAAACTGCTCCCGGTACTTCTTATGGATGGCTTAGTTTATAAAAATACTAGTTGGTCCTTAAAAGGCGAGATGGTAAATTTCTAAAATAACATTAATACCAAATTGCAATACAGTACAGTACTACCAAATAGCTAAAAACTCAAGTTGTTATTTGAAAACATTTTTACAAATGTTTAAGTGGAATTGTTCCAAGAGTTATTATTTAACAAATATTTTGTCTGACTACACACATAATTCTTGTAGTACTCCAGAGAAACTGAAAGGCTAATTTTACTCCTTGCTCCAAATAATTTTAACCCTAAGAAAAAATTCATAGGCTTTACCCCAATAGATACAAATTGTATTTAAAGAAATTTTATCGATTTATAGCAATAAACCTTGAGATAATATTTTGTGATAGATGAAGTAAAAAATCTCATGAAATTTCACTGCTAAAAACACATTTGCTTAGGGTACTTTTACAGAAAAGCTTCATTATTAACTTACATTTGTCACTCGTGTACTTAAGCTTAAACATGATTCCTCTTTAAAAATGAAACTCCAACCACAAGGTTTACAACTTAAATTTCAGTGGCAACTGGAAGCTGTTTCCCAAGTACTTTGCGAAGATATTTACAAAACAATCCATTTTCCATTTGCTTATCAGGGATTCATTGTCAATACATGACTAACAGATGCTTACCCTTGTGCAGTAAATTATCTCGTTACTTCACTTTTCAGTCTGTTTTCACTGAACTAAATTTTCAAAATAATAAATTACATAGTTTGGACGTTAGTAATTGAGCATAATCATATTGGACAACAGTTTTACAATTCAAATTTTATATTTAAACTGACAAAAAGAACAATATGTTAGAAAGAGTATAGAAGATTGCAAATTAATATAATTATATTAGTTGTGTTCTTGGAAAAAATTGAGGATAGTAAGATGTATCCAAACCCAATACATAATATTTGTCCAAGTTGTAGTTTCTGTTTACTACAAGTTGATGGCTGTGTTTACTACCAGTTGATAACCAATTTAATATTTTATTTTCTTGTTTCCCTAAACTGTGATTAACTTATCAGGATTATAAATATCACAATAACGAATTCTACCCATCTGATCTGATAACAATTGGTTAGTAATGGGTTATATTAAACTATTATCGTTCAAAAATCAAATAAGTGATACCGTACAACATTTCAAAAGTTGTGATAGTGATATCTGATTTAATGGACATACTAAAAACATAGTAGATCTTGCGATAGACTTTGGATTTAAGAGTCCTTGGAGCCTAGACGTTCCAACTCATAAAACAGTTTAAAAACTACAAAGCAAATTTCAAATCTCACAGTAAACTAGATATTTAAATTACAATCACTTTAGTATTTTAAAAAATATTTTGGGGTGGAAATAACTCTTCAGCGGCTGTTTGAAAATAACAAATTTAACAATGCTCTTATGACGGGCAAATCCAAGATGGCCGTTGGCTTCCATGGGCTCCGTTGGAAATAGGTACATTCAAAACAACAAACAACATTTCTAATCCCACAGTATACTAGATACCGGTATTTACATTATGATCACTTTGGTGATTGAAATACTATTTTTGTCTATGATAATTAACTCTTCAGCAGCTGTTTAAAATTATTCTAGTTGGCCGCTAGCCTCCAAGCACTCTTAAGAGTACTGCAAACTATCTTTTTATCATATTGTAAAACCTGAAGTTTATTTAGATTTTTTATGGTTTGTGGTTTTATGGTTTTGAATCTGGTAACAATTGAATGCATGTGATATATTCAAATTTCTCTCTCTTATTTTAGTGTTAATTTTACAATGTACGCTTTTATTCTTTGGCCATGATACCTAAAGGACAATTTTTGTTAATTGTAATGGTCTAAGTAGCCTAAATAAAATAATGGGATTTAAAATAGAATTATTCAATTCACACAAGTGTTAATAGACATCAACTTACCGTAAATGTTCTTAATATGGACATAAAGTTTTTTATCATTGTATTCCAACCTACTTAGTAAAATCTTCATTCATAGGCTTACGCGGCTGGTGTCATAACTTATTCTCGATCTTCTATTGAGAGCCGTGCAACAAGTCAGTATTTTTACACTATTTGCAAAACCAGCCGTTTTGCACATATAGTCATGAATTAGCATTACTGTAGTGAAAAAGCTGAGACACTGACTCGGCTTGGTTTTCATCAGAAGATCAAGAATTTAGTACTACATACAAACTTTTTTGTACCATAGTGAGTAAATCCTAGGGATGAACAGGTCCCGAAATTCCGGGAAATCTTTGGGGAAAAACTTTTCTCGATTTTCGGGACAAGATTACATTTTACTCGGGAATTTTTCAGGACGGGATTTAATCCGATCGTCAGCGATTTTGCCGCTTTGCGCGTGACGATGACGCTGCTATTGCGAGAGATGTCCACGATAATTCCACGAATGCAAGAGGCAAAGGTATTTCGACGAACGTGCCGTGACCGCGAGTCATTTTGACGTTCGTGTTGTGACCGCGAGTCATTTCGACGATCGTGTTGTGACCGCGAGTCATTTTGAAGATCGCGTTGTGACTGCGAGTCACATCAGCAATGGTGTTGTGACCGCAAGTCATTTCGACAATCGCGCCGTGACCAAGAGGTCAACATATCGTGTTAGGTAGCAATATTCCTCTATACATGTCAAAATTTAGGATTTATTAAGCTAAACTGCTTTTCCACTCATAACCAATTCAGCCCTTAAAAATCTACACAGTATTTTAACCCTCCGAGTGTCATGCGTCGCTGCAGCGACGCGTAACGCACTTTGTATAATGTCGTGCGTCGCTACAGCGACTCGCGAACACTGTTTACGGCGAAGGCTCTATGACTAACTGAATCGGACTGTACTGGATTGAGTTAGGTATCGTTCTTTCCGTAATATTCTAAGCTTTCTCCAGAGGTCTGTCTCTAAGCACTATTCATTTTAGTTCCGAAAATATTGTAGCAGACAGCTGACTGAGCTGACGTGCGTGTATTTGTAAACAGCTAGGTTACCCTCGGACCGATGACTGATGTGTTTTATTACATTTATCATTGTTTTAGTGTTAAAAATCAAAAGTAGTGATATACACGGTGCATTATAAGAAGATTTAAGTGGTTTTGAAGTGCTGGTTGATGATCCTGAAGAAGTAGGTAGTGATATTGATGTAAATTATCAGCCAGATTCCTAGCTATGGTTGGGCTATGCATTCTTAGCTAAACGCTATGTACTGAAATCTGTTTTTTGCCCATAACTTATTTATTTGCAAATCTACTTCCTTATATTATTATATATTTGTAATCCTCATAAAATTTAGAACAAAGTGGCTATTTTCAAATATTTATAGGCCTATAATTTATACAATTTCATTGAGCGCACTTATTTTTTTTTAAATTTTCGAAATTATACATTTTTTTTTACCTAAAAAAATTTTTTTTTAAAAATCTTCCTTATGTTTTATATATAATATTGAAGCCCAAGATTTTCCAAACAAAATGGTATATAGAACAGTATAATTAACATTGTTTTTAAGCTTCTCAGATCAGTTTTAATAAAACCTTGCAAATGAGCAAAAAATAGGCTGACATTAAGGCCAAAACACGTGACACTCGGAGGGTTAAACTGCAGTGAGTGATAGTCTGTTTCAATACCTGGATGGATGTACCGTTCTTAATTCCGTAAGGTATTTCATAATGAGACTGATGTTTTACAGTAAAATTACACCGGATATGAAATTATTTAGTCACAACGTTTTTTCTATACCTGTAAACTCTTACCCATTATTGGTTGTATAGATCAGTACCACAAAGGGTAAAAATTGATTTTTTTTTTTCTTTTTTGTAACTGCAATTTTATTTACCTACTCAAGAAATTCCTTCCCCTCCCGTCCCGTACTAAAAATTCAATCCCGTCCATCCCTAGTAATTACTTTAAAAAGTTTTAGTTTTGAACACAATCACATTTTTCAAATTATCGTACAATTATAGCTGCAAAACATCACTTACCTCTTTCGACAACATCATTGACAACTTGTTTCAGTGAGGCCATGTTGAAAGCAGGGTTAAACCTGGAAAAAACACATGCATCAAACAATGCGGTTAGTAGCAAACATGGCGTAAAACTGTTAGATCGTGAGTATTTTAAAACACAACATAGAAATAATTTCATTAGATATAAGAATTCCACATTTAATAAAACTTTCATGGTCTATGGGGTTAACTAAAATATGTTATTGTTGAAACACACTTCTACGATGAAAATATAGTGTTAAAACGAGGAGAAATATGTTAAAAGAAGAGTATATTAAGTTTCAGAAGCCCAAACATAAATTCAAGTTTATATTACCGGTGTGAAAAATTGCTTTATGAATTAATGTCATGGCTACAAAGAAGTGCTTGATTCCAAACTAATTCAAGAAACAAAATATAAAATTATCTGAAAAATAATAAAATACAATGGATATGTATTTGTTATGATCTGTTCTTTTTTTAAGAAGCTGTCTTGTTGAAAAAAGGCTATTTTTCTTGAAAGACATATTTTTTTCTTGGTTTGCCTATCCTGTTTTGAAAGCTTGAATAAAAATTTAATCAAACCAAATGTCTGAATTTTAAACATTATTTTCCCTTAGGCAGTTTATACTAGCCACAATTTTCTTATTTTCCTTAAATGTAATTAAATACAGGGTTTCCAGAAAAAGTCAAAAAGACAACAATAAGAAAAAAACATTCATTCTTTATTCCTATACTGTACAAAACCAATGCACACATAGACTTATCAACATTAAAATGCTTAATCCACGACTTTACTTATAACAGTGATTTTCATTTCCAATGGTCACTGTATGCATGCTGTAGATAATGCATGAGTAAGCAAAACAGCATGATTGCAAATGGAGAGTGATAAGTCAGCGCATTAGTTGGCACAACAAAATCTCTGACACACATTTGCTGACAAAATTATCAGTAGTTGCTCTAATCCAATAATTATAATTTTTTTATTGTTATATATTGAACAATTCAAACTAACTTACTCCTGGCATTTTTCTTTTCAAATTCATAATTTATTGTAAAATAATTAACAATGATTTTCATCGTCACATGATTGCAATTGGTAGTAATTTTTCTGGTACTAAACTACACCAGCTTAATAACTTATTGAACTTATTTCTTTAATTATTTGCTATTTTTTCTTTGGTATCTATTATATTATTTAAGTAAGCCTAAGCTAGACTATTATTTTCCATGTTATTTCAAAATAATATTCTTTTCATCCCATTGTATCAAAGTTTTTGTTATTTGGTGCAACTGAACGTTTTGGGAGCTGGTTTAAAACTAAACAATCAAATTAAGTAGTTTTAATCTTATTGTTAAATACAATTGAATTGTAGCCTATAAACCCAAGTTAAAGGTCATAGACCAAAAATTTTCATATATTTTTTTTTATTACGGTAAAGGGTTAGTAACAGTTGATTGATCACAAGCCAAAACTTAGGTTAGGCTATGTGTGCACTGTGCAGACTGAGACTACAGTAATTACATACAATCATTTTTCTAAACAGTGACAATCTCGTGGTTATGATTTGCTAAGTTTTAGTTTATATTTTTTATCTAATGTAAAGAAATTTAAACTTGGAATCAATAAAACATCCTACAACGTTAATTATGAAATTAACAATTGATTTAAAGTAGATAGGTACCTTAGAATTGTAAGAACAAAATTGGACAAATATTGAACAGATAACAATTCAGAAAAGTTTATTTTAGGGCCTACATATTCATGAATGAATAAAAGATCAACGAGTTGTAATAAACTTGATTTTTAAACTTGTGATTTAAATCTGCCCAGACAAAAATGATTGTAGGCCCTAACTAAAAATGATTTAATAAGCAATTACTTTGCACTACATAGCTTCACCATAAATTCAAGACATTTAAACACCAAAGAATTATTGGGGTTTAGCTATTAAAATATTTTAATTGTATATTGTACAAACAAGCTTTACTAGTAAATATTTAGTTTAAAGTTAAAAAATAGTAAAATACACATTACATAGGTTAATTCTTCCCCCTCAATAGATTTTTACTTGTAGTAAATTTCCTTACGCCTAGATAGGAAAGTATCAGCGAAATTTCCTATAAGGAAGTATCTATTATTGTAACCTTCACAGTAAAACGTCATAGATGTATCTGGGACAACTAAAGTTTATAGTTATAATTTTTCAAAACCGAAGAGCAGTGTATTCAAATTATTGTAACGTTTTAACGTAGGTTATATTTAGGCTACCTGTCCGTTACTGTGTAAGTAGTAAACTATGATAAACATTCTTTCATCTTGCTGAAATTTGGAATGGTTGTGTGGAACACATATTTATCTAATAATCGGGAATAATTTGTATGATGAACAAAGTTTTTACGATATTTCGGGATCTGGATCTTACCCTCTTCTCAGGTGAGCTTATAGGATTGGTCCTATCCTTGAAATGTTGTAGGTAAATACTTTCAAAACCTCAGGAGGGTGTCAAATTCCAGATCCCAAAACCTCAGAAAAACTGTGTTTTTTACTGATCGTGATGGAAAATGCATCCACTATGATCATGTAAACTCACTATCACAAATAATTACCTCGCAACATATATTTGTTCATAAAGAGCAATTGTTATGTAGTATCCAATATTATTCCTAAGAAGAAAAATTAATTCATTTAGATTGCTTATTTATGCATTTGTCAAATTTGTAATTTTACTGTGTTTCATTGTCTAGGTTCTATGCGTTCAATAAAAACCAACCTTTTGTAAGATCCTCATAGCTCAAATTAACAAGTATGCAAATACTTGTGGGAATTAGTTTACAGAACAAATTCTGGCAGTAATCTAAATTTTAAAACTAAATTTCCCTTTTCTATAAACTTTTTTAACTACGTTTTCCAAAGCCGCTGGAGTTTCACTTATTTTGATGATTTTAAGCAGCGAACAATGCTTTTAATTTATTTTCCCTATTACTATTGACTACTAAATCAACAAACTAAATTACAAATTTTGGCCTTATGTAGCCTATTTATAATTTGATATTTAAAGAAATATGACTTTACAAGTTTTCTATTATTTCAAAAAGAACTTGAAATCTAACATTTTGTTCTTTTTACAGAATTTTTTACGTTGGTAGGTTATAGGTGGACTAGTAATTGATGGACACACCTCGCACGCACAATACACAATATACAATACACCAGGTCGTTTCAATTGTGATTGTTGGACACAACACAATTGCTGTCCCACCCATTGCTCAATCAAAGCTTTAAAACAATTCAATGGATCAATCAAAACTATACTACTAACATTGATCAATGGTCATTAGTATATTTCTGTTAACTTTTTATATTGTTTGAACATCAAAATCTATTCAATTTCAAATTTTGATAGAAGTATATTTTTTACCTATAATTAAACATATACTTTTTCTTTAATCAATTTGTTCTGATAAGTGCGTAATTTTTTACCTGCTGTTGAACAAATTCCATCTTTACTCATAAAATAAATACTATGTTCATAAAATGGACAAGTTTTATTTTTTGGTGCGATTCTTTTTTCAGTTTTCTCCAATATTAATTTTGTGGGCAACTTTGTCCAAATTTTAAGACCAAACCAATCAGAAAAACTAATTTTAACATTTTATTAATTAGTCCTGACCTACTAACTTATTAGGCTACTTAAACATTACAGGAATAACAAAGTTATATAATATGTGAGCTGTTCATGTTTTTTTTTTACGCAACACTCCTATATTTATAGTAAGACAAGTCAAGGCCGCATGGTTCTAGCTGGCAAGTGTTTGCATAACAAATTATGTTTGTTTTTGTTGTAGCATACAAACAGTAAACACGTTAACATAAAGGTTTAGTAACCAATTATAAAGGATAATACCTTGTAAACCTTTAGTTTAACCCTATCCCACAAAAAACACTTTTGTTAATTTAACTACAAATTTCTCCTAAACATCTTTGTCACTATACCAAACAAAACTGAACAATGCCTTCTTTACCTGTCTATTCTTTCCCCAATGCTCATTCCTTTTGGTTCACTCATGTTGCTCAGTTAACCATAAACGTACAAAAACACTTCACAATTGCAGGCTACAAACTCTAGCAGCACTACAATATGACAGCACGAGGGACGCTAACGTCGCGGTCTACTCGCCAACTCACACACAGGTGATAACGCTTTGTTATCAGCTGTTTATTTTACTCATGACAGCCACCTACACCACCAAACATTGGTGAACTCATCAGTGTTACATAAACGCTTTTTATTGTTTAGATAAAGAGTAGGTTTTTTTATGATTTTTATCGCATGTAGTTTTATCTGTTTTGGTTTTATGAGAACTAACAATATGCTGTTAGTCCATCAAGTAGTAGGCTACCTAATGTACACAGCAATAAATAAAATAAATTAATTAGTTTTTTCTTGATTCACAATTTACAGGTTGGTGAAAAAATTTAAACACCCCGTTTCCGTAAACCAGCAAACTCAGCAAATATCCTTTGCTTTATTAATTTATAAATGTGTTCTCAAGTATATATTCAAAAGTGAAATAATTGAAGGCCATTTACTAGTATAACATTTTCTCAGTTAGGACTTAAAGCGGTATGTTTCAAAAATATTTTACATATTTTTGATTTAAATAAGTTATTAAAAATCTAGAATGAAAATATACTTTCTCCTCCTATACCATAGTGTAGGGTATAGTATACTTAAGGAGCAAGTCCCTACTGTTTTCGCCAAAATTTTTAGTTTGAGTTTTGAGTTGATATATTTGTTTTAGGTCCCCCTGAACCAGAAAAAGTGTTTTTTGGAGTGATGTCTGTCTGTGTGTGTGTCTGAATGTGTGGTACAGACTACACCTGAAGTCCGATTTTGATGAAATTTGGTAAATATTTAGGTACTAGATGATATCTCCATGCGTTTTTCACTTTATCGTAATTTAAATTTTTAATGGGGATTTTCCTAAAAAACCATTTAAGATAACAAAAATTCAAATTTTCTCTAAAATGGCCAGAACGATTTTGATAGAC